AAGTTGAAAAATTACATTCATCGGGAAGCAAAAGAAACGCGCAAAAATAATTGAGTGTAGATTAGTGTACAGCCAGCACTGACTTCCTGCTCTTCCCTGTGTGACACAGGTGGCTTCCGACGCCATCTTGCAGGTCGTTAAGTACCATGGTGCTGAGAGACTCAGAAACAAAAAGTAATGAAGTAAAAACAAAAAACAGGACCAACTTTCATCTTGACTGGTGTGTCAATCAGCCGGCAGTACGCAGGGTGTTAGGTTACATCCATCCCATCAAAAAACATATCACCTCTAATTGACCTGAACTGGTTGCTATAGAATTTTACCCTCCTGTGTTTTACTTCATTTCAAGAAATTGCTTTGACATATGCTCCATCATCATAAAGCTGGATTTTTAAGCAATTGTTGAAATTTGGAAGTTTATGGGTTTGAAAATTGGAATTCTTTCAAAGTTTTTGCTGAAAAAATCCATATTTGACTTTGGTTTACTGCTTGTGTCGCGTGATGCTCGCCAGCGTTAAGTGTCTGCAACATGGCACACTCTATAGATTCTGTGATGGTCTGTGGGGATTCTGTGATGTCTGTGTAGATTCTGTGATGGTCTGTGGGGATTCTGTGATGGTCTGTGGGGATTCTGTGATGGTCTGTGGGGATTCTGTGATGGTCTGTGTAATTCTGTGATGGCCTGTGTAGATTCTGTGATGGTCTGTGTAGACTCTGTGATGGAGTCTGGATTCTGTGATGGTCTGTGTAGATTCCATGATGGTCTGTGGGGATTCTGTGATGGTCTGTGGGGATTCTGTGATCATGTCTGTGTAGATTCTGTGATCATGTCTGTGTAGATTCTGTGATGGTCTGTGTAGATTCTGTGATGGTCTGTGTAGATTCTGTGATGGTCTGTGTAGATTCTGTGATGGCCAGTGTAGATTCTGTGATGGGCTGTGGGGATTCTGTGATTGTCTGTGTAGATTGTGTGATGGTCTGTGTAGATTCTGTGATGGTCTGTGTAATTCTGTGATGGTCCGTGGACTCTGTGATGGGCTGTAGGGATTCTGTGATCATGTCTGTGTAGATTCTGTGGTGGTCTGTGTAGATTTCATTATGGTATGTGCTAGTTCTGCAAGGTTCTGTCTAGCTCTGCTGCTATGGATGTCAATCAGACGGAAATATTACCAGGCACAGATAGTTAAGACAACAAACAAATTCCTATAGGTATTTCCTTGCATTCCCATGGCAGGGGAGAGTGCTGGAGTGTTAACATTGCCGTATACGCCAGATATGTGGCCTGGATCTTCACATGGACAGGAATGCTGCATCTATTTCCGGAAGTTTGTTCTCCACACCGGCAATATATATTGCCTCTTTTCTCACAAGTTAACCTATAATTTCTCTTTAAGATATTAGTAAGTTGTCAATAGCCGTGATCAGTACCGTGGAGGCGACCACTCTGTTGTGTCAGTATTTGAGGCCTTCACAGAGAAGTGGATATTTCAATATGTGCTACATTGAACCCAAGATCTTGGTTAGAACACACCCAACACCACACACACAACGTACCACGTACCACACCCAACACACCAAACACAAAGCACCACGCCCAACATCCAACACACCACCCAACACACCACACACAATGTACCACGTACCACGCCCAACACACAATGCACCACACCCAACACACCACATACCAAACATACCACACCACACACCCGATACACCACACCACACACACCAAGCACCACACCACACACTCACACCACACCACACCACACACCACACACCACACCACACCACACCACACCACACCACACCACACCACACCACACCACACCACACCACACACCACACCACACCACACCACACCACACCACACCACACACCAAACATACCACACCACACACCCGATACACCACACCACACAAACCAAGCACCACACACACACACACACACACACACACCACACCACATAAAACACACCACACCACACACACCCGATACCCCCCGACCCACACCCACACCAAGCACCACACCCCAGGGGCACTGAGCTACTGTTACAAAACTGAGGACAGCGTTTCCATGGCAATATACAAAACTGTTTGTATCACAACATCGGCATCAATGTGTCTCACTCAGCCACCTCCTGCACAGCGTATCCCTAGTGGAGGTTGAGTAGATGATGTCACCATCAATGTGTCCCACTCAGCCACCTCCTGCAGAGCGTATCCCTAGCGGAGGTTGAGTAGATGATGTCACCATCAATGTGTCCCACTCAGCCACCTCCTGCACAGCGTAACCCTAGTGGAGGTTGAGTAGATTATGTCACCATCAATGTGTCCCACACAGCCACCTCCTGCACAGCGTATCCCTAGCGGAGGTTGAGTAGATTATGTCACCATCAATGTGTCCCACTCAGCCACCTCCTGCACAGCGTATCCCTAGGGGAGGTTGAGTAGATTATGTCACCATCAATGTGTCCCACTCAGCCACCTCCTGCACAGCGTAACCCTAGCGGAGGTTGAGTAGATTATGTCACCATCAATGTGTCCCACTCAGCCACCTCCTGCACAGCGTAACCCTAGTGGAGGTTGAGTAGATTATGTCACCATCAATGTGTCCCACTCAGCCACCTCCTGCAGAGCGTATCCCTCCTGCACAGCTTATCCCTAGAGGAGGTTGAGTAGATTATGTCACCATCAATGTGTCCCAGTCAGTCACCTCCTGCACAGCGTACCCCTAGCGGAGGTTGAGTAGATTATGTCACCATCAATGTGTCCCAGTCAGCCACCTCCTGCACAGCGTACCCCTAGCGGAGGTTGAGTAGATTATGTCACCATCAATGTGTCTCACTCAGCCACCTCCTGCACAGCGTATCCCTAGCGGAGGTTGAGTAGATTATGTCACCATCAATGTGTCCCACTCAGCCACCTCCTGCACAACGTAACCCTAGCGGAGGTTGAGTAGATTATGTCACCATCAATGTGACCCACTCAGCCACCTCCTGCACAGCGTAACCCTAGCGGAGGTTGAGTAGATTATGTCACCATCAATGTGTCCCACTCAGCCACCTCCTGCACAGCGTATCCCTAGCGGAGGTTGAGTAGATTATGTCACCATCAATGTGTCCCACTCAGCCACCTCCTGCACAGCGTAACCCTAGCGGAGGTTGAGTAGATTATGTCACTATCAATGTGTCCCACTCAGCCACCTCCTGCACAGCGTAACCCTAGTGGAGGTTGAGTAGATTATGTCACCATCAATGTGTCCCACTCAGCCACCTCCTGCAGAGCGTATCCCTCCTGCACAGCGTATCCCTAGAGGAGGTTGAGTAGATTATGTCACCATCAATGTGTCCCAGTCAGTCACCTCCTGCACAGCGTACCCCTAGCGGAGGTTGAGTAGATTATGTCACCATCAATGTGTCCCAGTCAGCCACCTCCTGCACAGCGTACCCCTAGCGGAGGTTGAGTAGATTATGTCACCATCAATGTGTCTCACTCAGCCACCTCCTGCACAGCGTATCCCTAGCGGAGGTTGAGTAGATTATGTCACCATCAATGTGTCCCACTCAGCCACCTCCTGCACAACGTAACCCTAGCGGAGGTTGAGTAGATTATGTCACCATCAATGTGTCCCACTCAGCCACCTCCTGCACAGCGTATCCCTAGCGGAGGTTGAGTAGATTATGTCACCATCAATGTGTCCCACTCAGCCACCTCCTGCACAGCGTAACCCTAGCGGAGGTTGAGTAGATTATGTCACCATCAATGTGTCCCACTCAGCCACCTCCTGCACAGCGTAACCCTAGTGGAGGTTGAGTAGATTATGTCACCATCAATGTGTCCCACTCAGCCACCTCCTGCACAGCGTATCCCTCCTGCACAGCGTATCCCTAGAGGAGGTTGAGTAGATTATGTCACCATCAATGTGTCTCACTCAGCCACCTCCTGCGCAGCGTAACCCTAGTGGAGGTTGAGTAGATTATGTCACCATCAATGTGTCCCACTCAGCCACCTCCTGCAGAGCGTATCCCTCCTGCACAGCGTATCCCTAGAGGAGGTTGAGTAGATTATGTCACCATCAATGTGTCCCAGTCAGTCACCTCCTGCAGAGCGTACCCCTAGCGGAGGTTGAGTAGATTATGTCACCATCAATGTGTCCCAGTCAGCCACCTCCTGCACAGCGTACCCCTAGCGGAGGTTGAGTAGATTATGTCACCATCAATGTGTCCCACTCAGCCACCTCCTGCACAATGTAACCCTAGCGGAGGTTGAGTAGATTATGTCACCATCAATGTGTCCCACTCAGCCACCTCCTGCACAGCGTATCCCTAGCGGAGGTTGAGTAGATTATGTCACCATCAATGTGTCCCACACAGCCACCACCTGCACAGCGTATCCCAAGCGGAGGTTGAGTAGATTATGTCACCATCAATGTGTCTCACTCAGCAACCTCCTGCACAGCGTATCCCTAGAGGAGGTTGAGTAGATTATGTCACCATCAATGTGTCCCAGTCAGCCACCTCCTGCAGAGCGTACCCCTAGTGGAGGTTGAGTAGATTATGTCACCATCAATGTGTCCCACACAGCCACCTCCTGCACAGCGTATAGAGGAGGTTGAGTAGATTATGTCACCATCAATGTGTCCCACTCAGCCACCTCCTGCAGAGCGTACCCCTAGCGGAGGTTGAGTAGATTATGTCACCATCAATGTGTCCCAGTCAGCCACCTCCTGCACAGCGTACCCCTAGCGGAGGTTGAGTAGATTATGTCACCATCAATGTGTCCCACTCAGCCACCTCCTGCACAGCGTACCCCTAGCGGAGGTTGAGTAGATGATGTCACCATCAATGTGTCCCACTCAGCCACCTCCTGCACAGCGTATCCCTAGTGGAGGTTGAGTAGATTATGTCAACGTGGGTCAAGATGACACACAACATTGGTCTGTCGGAATGTTCCCGTGTTGTTGTATGTGACTTTAACATAATGTTGTTGTTGTTGTTGTAGGTGAAGTCCCCACATGTCCTGGCAATGACTTCACGTGTGAAAACAGCCGCTGTATCAATAAGGAATGGCTGTGTGATGGTGACAACGACTGCGGAGATGACAGCGATGAACTTGGATGTCGTAAGTTGAGGTTTTCATGGGTTTTTTTCCATAGACACTGCTCTTTGCTTTGTACCAAAGATAAATATTTCAGCTACAGTCCACATGTGATGACATTAGTCAGGGATATGATGACATTAGTCAGGGAGTGATGACATTAGTCGGGGATATGATGACATTAGTCAGGGATGTGATGACATTAGTCGGGGATGTGATGACATTAGTCAGGGATCTGATGACATTAGTCGGGGATGTGATGACATTAGTCAGGGATGTGATGACATTAGTCAGGGGAATGATGACATTAGTCAGGGATGTGATGACATTAGTCAGGGATGTGATGTCATTAGTCAGGGAGTGATGACATTAGTCAGGGATGTGATGACATTAGTCGGGGATGTGATGACATTAGTCAGGGGAGTGATGACATTAGTCAGGGATGTGATGACATTAGTCGGGGATGTGATGACATTAGTCGGGGATGTGATGACATTAGTCAGGGATGTGATGACATTAGTCAGGGATGTGATGAAATTAGTCAGGGATGTGATGACATTAGTCAGGGGAATGATGACATTAGTCGGGGATGTGATGACATTAGTCAGGGATGTGATGACATTAGTTGGGGATGTGATGACATTAGTCGGGGAGTGATAACATTAGTCGGGGATGTGATGACATTAGTCGGGGATGTGATGACATTAGTCGGGGAGTGATGACGTTAGTCAGGGATGTGATGACATTAGTCAGGGGATGTGATGACATTAGTCAGGGGAATGATGACATTAGTCAGGGGAATGATGACATTAGTCAGGGGAGTGATGACATTAGTCAGGGATGTGATGACATTAGTCAGGGGAGTGATGACATTAGTCAGGGAGTGATGACCTTAGTCAGGGGAGTGATGACATTAGTCAGGGTTGTGATGACATTAGTCCGGGGAGTGACGACATTAGTCAGGGAGTGATGACATTAGTCAGGGGAGTGAGATGACATTAGTCAGGGGAGTGATGACATTAGTCAGGGGAATGATGACATTAGTCAGGGGAATGATGACATTAGTCAGGGAGTGATGACATTAGCCAGGGGAGTGTGATGACATTAGTCAGGGGAGTGATGACATTAGTCAGGGGAGTGATGACATTAGTCAGGGGAGTGATGACATTAGTCGGGGATGTGATGACATTAGTCAGGGATGTGATGACATTAGTCAGGGAGTGATGACATTAGTAAGGTGGGTCGTGATGTGGTTGAGATCTCCAGTTCTGTGAGAATGGGACATTCCTGCTGCTGATGTCACACATGCGAGACAGCCACTGTTGTCCACAGGGACATGTACAAAGAGTTGACTCCATGTCTTGAATGTCAGGCCTTGTATAAACTCAGACCAAACCTTTCATCCTAATGTCTTCCTATATAAGTATTATTCAATTCAATCTCGAACCTTGAAATTCACATTCTGTTGATATTTCAAACCTACAATGAAATCTCTTGTCACTAAAATACACTGTAATTAATATTTTTATCTCGAACCCCAGCTGAAACATTTTGGATGATTCATATGTACCTATTTCTTCACTCCTTCACTTAAGACTGATCTCAAAATAATGTGGCCTTGTGAGATGTAACCACGATGTTTTCAATACCAGTATTTGCCGGGTGTGGGTTGAACAAAAAGGTGGATTCTAAGAGAAGATATGGATTAGGTTAGTGAGTTCAAGTTGTCAAGGTGTGCTGAACCACTTCAAGGAAAGCAGTGACTTCAAGGAATGCAAAGACTTCTGGAAATGCAGTTACTTCAAGGAATGCAAAGACTTCTGGGAATGCAGTCACTGCAAGGAATGCAGTCACTTCAAGGAATGCAATGACTTCTGGGAATGCAGTCACTGCAAGGAATGCAAAGACTTCTGGGAATGCAGTCACTTCAAGGAATGCAGTCACTTCAAGGAATGCAAAGACTTCTGGAAATGCAGTGACTTCAAGGAATGCAAAGACTTCTGGAAATGCAGTCACTTCAAGGAATACAGTGACTTCAAGGAATGCAGTCACTTCAAGGAATGCAGTTACTTCAAGGAATGCAAAGACTTCTGGAAATGCAGTCACTTCAAGGAATGCAAATTAAAACTTCTGGGAATTCAGTGACTTCAAGGAATGCAATGACTTCTGGGAATGCAGTCACTTCAAGGAATGCAAAGACTTCTGGGAATGCAGTGACTTCAAGGAATGCAATGACTGGGAATTCAGTGACTTCAAGGAATGCAATGGCTTCTGGGAATGCAGTCACTTCAAGGAATGCAAAGACTTCTGGGAATGAAGTGACTTCAAGGAATGCAAAGACTTCTGGAAATGCTGTCACTTCAAGGAATGCAATGACTTCTGGGAATGCAGTCACTTCAAGGAATGCAAAGACTTCTGGGAATGCAGTCACTTCAAGGAATTCAATGACTTCTGGGAATGTGATGGCATTGTTTTTCATATAACCTGTGGGGAGGTTACTCATCTCACATTGACATGGCCAGTTGGAAAGAGACACTTCTGAGGGTGTTTGTGGATTTTATTCATTGAATTTTTATGTGTGAATCCCACTTTTTGATTAATGAACTGGATGAACCAGGATTTAGAGCAAGTCTACTGTATGTGCATGTTGCACGTGGTGTCAGTACATCCTTGATCCTCGGTATGCATGAGTACACAATGATAAATATACTTGCTAGTGTCGCTGAAGTTGAACTCATTAAACATACCAGGTCTAATGTTTTGCAGTGTAACTATGTATTTTGTTGACATGGGTCTAGATTAAGACTATTTTTTTATAGTATTATTCCAGTTTTCCATCTGTCTTTATTCTGACCTACAAGCTGATTTCTGATGAAAATTTTGTTTCAGATTAATCTCAGACTAGGTTATTTAGAAAATTATAATTATTAACTTTTGAAAAACAAATCATAAGTATGTAACTTGACTATATATTTCTGTTTGCATTGACAAAGATTGCCACTCACAGGGGATAGCTTGTGTCAGCTGCACAGAGGAGGGTGATGTTGTCCTCACAACTAATTGTTAGTGACAGAAAAACCCTATAAAGTTGTGTTTAATTTGAGCATGCTGTTGTGGAACTATATATACAAGAGGCTGTGTAATGAACAATGGACATGAGGTCAAGGTCGGGGGGTCAAGGTCAGGGAGTTCAGATTTATCACCTTGTCGGATGACTAACAAACTTGTGATTGAAGTTGTGGCAGGCGTTGACATCTTGCCTGACAAGTCGTGCCAGTTATTCATCTTAATGCTGACATATTTGTCAGAAATACTTTAAACTGACAATGAAGGAACTAAACTGGAGGGTCTGTGTGTCTCTGTGTCTGTCTGTGTGTCTGTCCGTGTTGTGTCCCCGGCCCAGGACCAAAATGGCAGGGCAGAAGAATTTCAGAAAGGGCACCCAGCCAAAAGATTTCCATGTATGATATCATGTCATGGTCGGGGTTTTGGAATGGATTTCATCTGTCCATCATTCCACTTCTCAAAGGGGACAAATTTTCTCAAAAACTAACCAAGTGTTGATATCAAATATTGTATTCTTTGTACGTGTATTATGAATTATTGTCACAGTCACACCTAGTGGTGGGAGGATATATTGATCACAGTCGCATACTAAGTAAAAAATATCGATTCATACCTTAAATGTTCACTACAATAAACCTCACATCAAATACTTATTAGTAGTGAAAACGTAAATATTTTTATCCATTGAGGCATATTTGACACTGCCAACTGTCAGTCGTCAGTGTGCCAGGTATTTGGCAATCCTGTCTTTGAAAAAGATGTCCTACGCACCACTGATAAGAGCACATGCAAGTATTGTGATACGTATCGGATCGTGAGCAAGGTATCATGATACGTATCAGATCACACAGTTGGTGTATCGTGATACGTATCGGATCACACAGTTGGTGTATCGTGATACGTATCAGATCACACAGTTGATGTATTGTGATACATATCGGATCACACAGTTGGTGTATCGTGATATGTATCGGATCACACAGTTGGTGTATCGTGATACGTATCAGATCACACAGTTGGTGTATGGCCCTAGACACACTGAAACTGTCATCTCAGTTCTCAGACGTGCATTTATCATGTACGTCGCTATATAAGTGCAATAATCTTGGACGCAACATTAAACCCCATTTCACTTCACCCCACGTACCTCTCGTATTATGTTTGCAGCCAGGCAATGTCTGCACAAAAGCTGTGAAAACCATCAACCTTAACATGATTAAAAGTTTGGGTAGTGAATTTCATTTATATAAAAATTAAGAATCTTATTGTAATGCGGCGACAATCTTCTAGTAACATATTTGCAGAACTATTTTTTTTGTTTTTTTAATTAAGCTGCATGAGAATAAAGAGGAAATTAATTCAAATGTTGGTTATAAATAAAATAAATGTTTGTAATTATTAGAAATATTTGTTGCTGGATATGATTCATATATTTGGGTAGATCTACAACAGACACATGTACTCATGGGAAAGATTGAGAGACAACAGCTGATGACTAAGTCCACTCCATTAGGATTTTACTGTGATGGCTTCGTACTTTTATTTTCAATTAGATAGACTCTGCTAGACATCGCAAAATACATACAAAAACTTGAAGATTTTATCAACAATATATACATTGTTAATTCGTAACATTTTGTTATGTATTACTTGAAAACGCTGAAACACAACCAAATTACGTATCTTTACAATGTTTGAATCGAGCACAATGAAACAAAATGGCAGACATTTCTGCTTGTGTAATCTGCTTTTTCGCCCAAATTCCTCACTTATAACCCTCTTCATGTAAGAAAACTAATGCAAGACATTTTGTATTGTTATGAAAGCAAAACTATGTCATCTGTTGTTTTTGTGTGCAATTAAAATAAGAATATTTTTTTATCCCGAAATTAGAAGCACATTGCAACCTAGAAGTCTAGAAGTCGTCGCCACTTCCTGCCTTGGGTCCTCGCCACTTCGTCCCTTTCTGCTTGGTCCTTTCTTTTGGCCAGCTTTGAGAAATAACACGCAAATAATGGCAAGTCAGTGAGCCATCGGTCTAATTCAGATACTAATTTCATAATTGTAACTCTAATTGTTTCTTAAAACCCTGACGAAATGTCAGAAAAGACAGGACAGGCTGCCTAGGAAGAGGGCAGGGTGTGAGTGTGAGTGTGTGTGTATCTGTGTCTGTATGTGTGTCTGTGTGTGACTGTGTGTGTGTCTCTGTGTATCTGTGTGTGTGTCTGCATGTCCTGATGGATGATATATCTGGACGATATAAGTATTATATGACCTAACTATATATGATATATCTAGATACATGTATGCTAAATTCATATATTTATCACTCTGGTGTGTTTTCTTGATGTGATGGCTGCCTATTCCTTTTTTGATGGATGTTGTAAGGAATAAAACAAGGAAACAACAAGGAAACGGTAGATTGTGTTTGGGTTTCAGACTTGTCATGTGGTCTGTGATGAGAGGTGTACATGGCTATTGTACTTGAGGATGAGAGTAAAACTGTAATCAAATCATGATTAGGGACTTGACTTCTGACACCTGTCATATTAGAGAAGATTAATGGCAATATCTGAATCTATTCCATCTGTTTTGGCTGGCTTGGACTGTCTGCCTCACAGGCGTGATATTGATTCAATAATTCGTGGTCATACCGTACAGCCCGCCTGGAGATACCTTGCAGTAGACACTCATGTCGGCCAGATATTTATGAGGCTGGCGCAACAAGTAGTCCATACTCAGTTTAAACTCATCTATTTCTGGAGCCTTTTGAGTATGATATGCTGATTGTCTACTCCGTATATAGAAACACAACCCACGTGTTGCTGCAAGAGAATATTTATACAGATAGCCATAAATAAGGGGCTATGCCAGGGTGAGTGAGTGGGGTTTGATGCAGCTGGGAACAGTATTTTAGTTATGTCACAGTGTGTCTTCTTAATGCAGGTCCTAGACGTTGACCACCTTAGAGAACTCTATGAGTGCAGAATACCAGGGGATATTTGGACTTTAGTGTGCGAAATGTTAGGATTTGTGATATCAGTAACACATATGTCTCCTGTGTGTGATATGTGCAGTAACACATATGTCTCTGATGTGTGATATGTGCAGTAACACATATGTCTCTGATGTGTGATATGTGCAGTAACACATATGTCTCTGATGTGTGATATGTGCAGTAACACACAAGTCTCTGATGTGTGATATTGGCAGTAACACATATGTCTCTGATGTGTGATATGTGCAGTAACACACAAGTCTCTGATGTGTGATATGTGCAGTAACACACAAGTCTCTGATGTGTGATATTGGCAGTAACACATATGTCTCTGATGTGTGATAAGTGCAGTAACACACAAGTCTCTGATGTGTGATATGTGCAGTAACACATATGTCTCCTGTGTGTGATATTGGCAGTAACACACAAGTCTCTGATGTGTGATATGTGCAGTAACACATATGTCTCTGATGTGTGATATGTGCAGTAACACATATGTCTCTGATGTGTGATATGTGCAGTAACACATATGTCTCCTGTGTGTGATATTGGCAGTAACACACAAGTCTCTGATGTGTGATATGTGCAGTAACACATATGTCTCTGATGTGTGATATGTGCAGTAACACATATGTCTCTGATGTGTGATATGTGCAGTAACACATATGTCTCTGAAGTGTGATATGTGCAGTAACACATATGTCTCTGATGTGTGATATGTGCAGTAACACATATGTTTCTGATGTGTGATATGTGCAGTAACACATATGTCTCTGATGTGTGATATGTGCAGAAACACACAAGTCTCTGATGTGTGATATTCGCAGTAACACATATGTCTCTGATGTGTGATGTGCAGTAACACATATGTCTCTGATGTGTGATATGTGCAGTAACACATATGTCTCTGATGTGTGATATGTGCAGTAACACACAAGTCTCTGATGTGTGATATTGGCAGTAACACATATGTCTCTGATGTGTGATATTGGCAGTAACACACAAGTCTCTGATGTGTGATATTGGCAGTAACACATATGTCTCTGATGTGTGATGTGCAGTAACACATATGTCTCTGATGTGTGATATGTGCAGTAACACATATGTCTCTGATGTGTGATATGCCTGGAATCACAGGGAGGGATCAGCTTATGAATCTGTGGCACTCAGCAGAGACAAATATGCAGTGGATAAAACAGTCATGCTGCACCCTGTTTGAATAATCAATTTCATCTCAGAATGATCTTGCTAATGGATTTTCCTAACATTTGTGTTACTGAAGATTAAGATGGCGACATTTTCCGAGATGTGAATCATGTGGTACTCTGATTTTGACATTTCCACTGACAACACAGGGCTTTTGAATGTTGTATGAAATGTAAGGTTGCTGATCTCTCAATTCTGTCATGTGGATGGAATATTACTGAGGCCGCTGTCATATAGGTGGAATATTGCTGAGGCCGCTGTCATATAGGTGGAATATTGCTGAGGCCACAGTCATGTGGATAGAATATTGCTGAGGCCACAGTCATGTGGGTGGAATATTGCTGAGGCCACAGTCATGTGGGTAGAATATTGCTGAGGCCACTGTCATGTGGGTAGAATATTGCTGAGGCTGCTGTCATATGGGTGGAATATTGCTGAGGCCGCTGTCATATAGGTGGAATATTGCTGAGGCCACAGTCATGTGGATAGAATATTGCTGAGGCCACAGTCATGTGGGTGGAATATTGCTGAGGCCACAGTCATGTGGGTAGAATATTGCTGAGGCCACTGTCATGTGGGTAGAATATTGCTGAGGCCACTGTCATGTGGGTGGAATATTGCTGAGGCCGCCGTCATATGGGTGGAATATTGCTGAGGCTGCTGTCATATGGGTGGAATATTGCTGAGGCTGCTGTCATATGGGTGGAATATTGCTGAGGCTGCTGTCATATGGGTGGAATATTGCTGAGGCTGCTGTCATATGGGTGGAATATTGCTGAGGCTGCGTCATATAGGTGGAATATTGCTGAGGCTGCTGTCATATGGGTGGAATATTGCTGAGGCTGCGTCATATAGGTGGAATATTGCTGAGGCTGCGTCATATAGGTGGAATATTGTATACCCAGCCCACCTGTCCATATAGTGTACATTCTGAGCCTACCTATGACATATATATGGAGCATGGCAGTCCAGGCAAAGACCTTCTTTCTGTGCTATGTGCTCTGTGCCTTGTGCTCACCTTCAATACAAGTGCTTCTTGTCAACCTGTTTTGCCAGGCTAGTGATGTTGCGCAATGTTTTTTGTTTCAGCTCCTCGGAACTGCACGACTGATGAGTTCCGCTGCCGCAACACCAACTGCATCCCCAAGGAGTGGAAGTGTGATGGAGACGACGACTGTGGAGACTTGTCAGATGAAAACTGTCGTAAGTTCTCGTCTCAGTTATTTCAACAGCCTTTTGTTAGGATCTCAGGTCTGAGTCGAGGCCTTTGAGTTGCGGGAGCTGGGATAGAATCTCTCTACAGGGGACGAAATGGTTACATCTACGTTGCTATGGAAACAGAAAGCTGCTCCTGATTATTGATAATTGAAACTGGTTTGTCTGCTCCTGTAAGTGAGTGAGTGAGTGATAGGGTGGGTGGGTGGATGAGTGAGTTGGTGGTGGGTGTGTGTGTTTTTGGTGAGTGGCTTCGAGTGAATGAGTTGGTGGTGGGTGAGTGTGTGAGTTGGTGGGTGTGCTTTTGGTGAGTGGCTTCGAGTGAGTGAGTTGTGAGTGAGTGAGTTGTGGGTGGGTGAGTGAATGAGTTGGTGGTGGGTGAGTGAGTGAGTTCGTGGGTGCGCTTTTGGTGAGTGGCTTTGAGTGAGTGAGTTATGGGTGGGTGGGTGAGTGAGTGAATGAATGAGTTGGTGGGTGGGTGTGTTTTTGGTGAGTGGCTTTGAGTGAGTGAGTTATGGGTGGGTGGGTGAGTGAATGAGTTGGTTGAGGGTGGGTGTGTTTTTGGTGAGTGGCTTTGAGTGAGTGAGTTATGGGTGGGTGGGTGAGTGAGTGAGTGAATGAGTTGGTGGTGGGTAGGTGGGTGTGTTTTTGATGAGTGAGTTAGTGGGTGGGTGGGTGAATTAGTGAGTATGGTTGTATGTTTGAGGGAGGTAGAGAGTGAGTGGGTGGGTGAATGTTTGAGCGAATGAGTACAGCTTTTGTTCATTGATTTCACACATATACCCATACAGCTGGTGGCTAACAGTGTAAGAACCATCCACACGGGAGACCAACCATCTCATCTGGCGGGGACCCAGGAACCCAGATCGGGGGGGGGGGGGGGGGGGGGGGCTCAACTTGGGAATGTAGATTTTCTTAGGCACAGGACCTAGTTCTCCTCTTGTTGAATCAGGCTGTAATGGTAATCACTGTGTGGCTGCAGTTTGTTCATTGCTGTGTCAAGTCCTGCAGGGAATTGGCCAACTGCATGTTGATTGGCCCACAATTCCTTCTAACGCAATTGAGCGGAAGTGATCCACAATTGATCCTTTCTCCTTTTCTTTGAAATGTCAACAGGCCCTCCTCCCATTGCAGCTGGGCATTAGTTCTGTCCAGAGTTTAATCATCAGCATTCTACAATGAATGATCAGTCGATGATTTCTGTCGCAGTGGAAATATATTTTGCAGTGGCTACCACCGTTCATCAGGAGAAGTGAGCCTGGCAAGACTGATAATAGAGGATTAATTGAATTAAACAACTTGGGAAGAGAGATAGAGAATCTCACCCTCGTGTCTTTTGATATCAAATATATCAACACTCGTTATATATTTGATAATAAAAGACACAAGGGTGAGATTTTGTTTATCATCCAACAATGTTTGTAGACAGTAATAAGCAGTGTCTTAAGTGTAAAAAGTACTGCTGACAGCTTCAGTAGCAGAGCCATTAGTGATGTCATTTGATTGTGACGTCATGGTAACCAGTGACGTCACAATGGTCTGCAAAGCATTGTGATGCAATTTCATTGCAGCGATATCTACACTGTAGATATCGCTTGATCTCACCCAAGCGATATCTGCTGTGGGAGCCAGTTTTGGATGATAAATTAGTATTCAGGGGATTTAGGTCTGACATTTACATCTGTGTGACTTGCGGACTTGCTGAATGTGAAGGGATTGGATGGTTTAGTACTTGACACATTCATTGGTGAGTGGGTGAGTGAGTGTCTTGCTGTCTGTACACTGATGATGTATCCACCATGTCAGTCTGTCAGTCAGTCAGCTCTCAGCTATAGACTACACCCAACAATAACATGCAACAATACTCAACAACATCCAACATCAACATCCAACAACATCACCCAACAACATCACCCAACAACAAAACCCAACAACAATATCCAACAACATCCAACAGTACTCAACAATATCCAACAATACCCAACAACAACATCCAAGAACAACTTCCAAAAGTAACATACATCATCCAACCACATTCAATAGTCTCAACTTAGCGTAAATTCTGCTGATGTAACTTAAATTTTAACTCACATACAACATCATCCCACAACATCCCCCTCAAAACATCATCCCACAACATCACCCAACAACATCATCCCACAACATCAACCCACAACATCTTCCCAAAAACATCATCCCACATCATCCCTCAACATCATACCCCATCATCCCTCAACATCAAAACCCAACAACATCCTCCCACATCATCCCAAAACACAACATCATCCCCATACATCACCCCACAACATCACCCCACAACATCATCCAACACAAGGACAAGTGCAGACTTATGTGCATGACTCAGCTATTTCTGACTTGTCCTCAAGTCAACTGTCAGAAACATCCCAAGAATATCAAGAATACTCTAATCACAAGGGGCATTGATTTAGTGCAAACTTTAAGCGTTTCGGAGTGAAAGTTGCTTGTGTAGAAATGATACAATGATGTGTCTGTCGAATATTGGCTTTACATGTGTGCTATCTTGTACATTATGTATAAGTGTAGACAGGATGTGAGTTGAGTCGGGAAGACTTTGAACGCCGCGGTGATGGTGGAACAAGTGGCTTTATCTGATGCTCCACCACGAGGAAGCATTGTTGTGAGATGAAAGCGGTGGAGTCGGGGGGAAGTGGGTGCAGTCTCACATAACGAGGTGCCGGCTCCAGGGGGATAAGCTCACCGTGTTTCATGTTTGATGTTTCAGAAAAGCGTCAGTGTAAACCAGATGAGTTTCAGTGCGGGGACGGAACATGTATCATGAAGTCCTGGCTCTGTGACAAGGACATTGATTGTGGCGACAGTTCTGATGAGAGTAGTTGTGGTAAGTAGTATATAGTGTAGTGAAAGTTAAGATGAGAGTAGTTGTGGCAAGTAGTATATAGTGTATAATAGTTCAGATGAGAGTAGTTGTGGCAAGTAGTATATAGTGTAGTTACAGTTAAGATGAGAGTTGTTGTGGTAAGTAGTATATAGTGTAGTTACAGTTAAGCTGAGAGTAGTTGTGGTAAGTAGTATATAGTGTATAACAGTTCAGATGAGAGTAGTCTCTGTAAAAGTGTAGTGAAAGTTAAAATGAGAGTAGTTATGGCAAGTAGTATACATAGTGTATAATAGTTCAGATGAGAGTAGTTGTGGCAAGTAGTATATAGTGTAGTTACAGTTAAGATGAGAGTACTTTAGCAAGTAGTATATAGTGTAGTGACAGTTAAGATGAGTGTAGTTGTGGTTAGTAGTATATAGTGTAGTTACAGTTAAGATGAGAGTTGTTGTGGTAAGTAGTATATAGTGTAGTTACAGTTAAGCTGAGAGTAGTCGTGGTAAGTAGTATATAGTGTAGTGACAGTTAAGATGAGAGTAGTTGTGGTAAGTAGTATATAGTGTATAACAGTTCAGATGAGAGTAGTTGTGGTAAGTAGTATATAGTGTAGTGACAGTTAAGCTGAGAGTAGTTGTGGTAAGTAGTATATAGTGTGTAACAGTTCAGATGAGAGTAGTTGTGACAAGTAGTATATAGTGTAGTTACAGTTAAGATGAGAGTACTTGTGGCAAGTAGTATATAGTGTATAGTGTAGTGACAGTTAAGATGAGAGTAGTTGTGGCAAGTAGTATATAGTGTATAATAGTTCAGATGAGAGTAGTTGTGTTAAGTAGAATATAGTGTATGTCAGTTCAGATGAGAGTAGTTGTGGCAAGTAGCATGTTGTGTATTGTGTAGTGACAGTTTAGATGAGAGTAGTTGTGGCAAGTAGTATATAGTGTATAATAGTTCAGATGAGAGTAGTTGTGGTAAGTAGTATATAGTGTATATCAGTTCAGATGAGAGTAGTTGTGTTAAGTAGTATATGGTGTATATCAGTTCAGATGAGAGTAGTTGTGGTAAGTAGTATATAGTGTATATCAGTTCAGATGAGAGTAGTTGTGGCAAGTAGTATATGGTGTAATACAGTTCAGATGAGAGTAGTTGTGGTAAGTAGTATATAGTGTATATCAGTTCAGATGAGAGTAGTTGTGGTAAGTAGTATATAGTGTATATCAGTTCAGATGAGAGTAGTTGTGTTAAGTAGTATATGGTGTATATCAGTTCAGATGAGAGTAGTTGTGGTAAGTAGTATATAGTGTAATACAGTTCAGATGAGAGTTGTTGTGGTAAGTAGTATATAGTGTATATCAGTTCAGATGAGAGTAGTTGTGGTAAGTAGTATATAGTGTAATACAGTTCAGATGAGAGTAGTTGTGGTAAGTTGTATATTGAATAATTAATATGAGTAGTTGTAGTTTGTGGTGTGTTGTTTTCACAAGACTATATAAGTGTAGTTCGTTTCTGGCGTGAGGTGCCAGACCTTAGAATTGATAGACCTCTGCGTTTTCTCAGTAGGCCTAGAACTGTAAGATTTCCCTGCATTGAAGGCAGGTTGACGTCTTTGTACCTCAGAGAAATGAGATTGTCTGCGCCTGTGTCAGTGTTTCTTTTCATCATGGAGAGCTTCACAGTGACTTGCAACTGAAGACGTCCCACCAGATACGACAGAAAGCTCTTTGATTTGGAGAAGACAAGTTTCGAAAACCCTGAACAAATTTGTTAGCGTAATTAAAGAGAATGACAGCCCGTCTTTCTCTGATTACACTTCTTGATCTCGGAAACCTTTAATTTTAGGGGAAATTGAATTTTGTCTTGTTTGAAACAAAGAAAGGGGTACAAGTTTCAAATAAATTGATTGAGAGCAAGTCTTAACCTTTGCTTTGATTCTGTTGTACATGTACATCGAAACTTTTTCAATCTCTTTTTCTCTTGCATCAGTATTTATGTAGGCAGGTTTTAAACCATCTGAGATTAGATTACTCCTCCAGTTTAGAGTTTGTAAACAAATCTATTCATATCATGACACACAATTTACATACACTCGTTCATTTTCAATTTTTTTGTAGCAAAACTTATTGAGTTAAGTTAGGCTTGTTGAAGTTAAGAACATCGTTTTGGTTGTAAAATTGATTCAGTTGATAAAGTTTTGTGTGAGAGTAAGAGAGAAGGGCAGAGTTTGTCTCCTGTTTCTTCAGACATTTATTGATTCCCTCTCCAGCACTGCAGATTTACACGAGTGAGCTCCCACCTCCCTACCTCTGCTAGTCTTTCCTCTGGGATGTTATGTTTTTATCAATATTTAGCGTCAAGATTGTTAGGGTTTTACGGCTTGGGGTACATAAAATTTAATAGAATATGTCTTGTGGAAAGTGTATATGTCTTATGGTTAGTTTTATATTGCCTTTATTTTGGTCGATGGTTTTGTTCAAAAGATTCCTGTAATTTCCCTTGGTAATTTTTTTCTTTTTAAGACTTGAATGTTCTTGTAAAAGACTCAGCATCTGATGTGCTGATTGTTTGAGATCCAAGTTTGCATTACCGTTTATTATCCACTGAACTTCATCTTGCATGGCAACATTGTTATTTGTTTATTTAAATTGTACAGCTGTCATGTTTGTGAAGCCGCAGAGCCTCTTGCTCAATGTAGGCTACAGAGCCTGCTTGCTGTATGTACGCTAGAGCATCTTGCTCATTGTAAGCTGCAGAGCCTCTTGCTGTATGTACGCTAGAGCATCTTGCTCATTGTAAGCTGCAGAGCCTCTTGCTGTATGTACGCTAGAGCATCTTGCTCATTGTAAGCTGCAGAGCCTCTTGCTGTATGTACGCTAGAGCATCTTGCTCATTGTAAGCTGCAGAGCCTGCTTGCTGTATGTATGTTAGAGCATCTTGCTCATTGTAAGCTGCAGAGCCTCTTGCTGTATGTACGCTAGAGCATCTTGCTCATTGTAAGCTGCAGAGCCTGCTTGCTGTATGTACGCTAGAGCATCTTGCTCATTGTAAGCTGCAGAGCCTCTTGCTGTATGTACGCTAGAGCATCTTGCTCATTGTAAGCTGCAGAGCCTCTTGCTCAATGTAAGCTACAGAGCCTCTTGCTCAATGCAGGCTACAGAGCCTCTTGTTCATTGGAGGCTACAGAGGCTGTTGCCCAATGTAAGCTGCAGAGCCTCTTGCTCAATGTAAGCTGCAGAGCCTCTTGCTCAATGTAAGCTACAGAGCCTCTTGCTCAATGTAAGCTACAGAGCCTCTTGCTCAATGCAGGCTACAGAGCCTCTTGTTCATTGGAGGCTACAGAGCCTCTTGCTGTATGTAAGCTGCAGAGCCTCTTGCTCAATGTAAGCTGCAGAGCCTCTTGCTCAATGTAAGCTACAGAGCCTCTTGCTCAATGCAGGCTACAGAGCCTCTTGTTCATTGTGGGCTACAGAGCCTCTTGCTCAATGTAAGCTGCAGAGCCTCTTGCTCAATGTAAGCTGCAGAGCCTCTTGCTCAATGTAAGCTACAGAGCCTCTTGCTCAATGCAGGCTACAGAGCCTCTTGTTCATTGGAGGCTACAGAGCCTCTTGCTGTATGTAAGATGCAGAGCCTCTTTCTCTTTGTGTTTTACTCATAAACAAATTACACAGAAATAAGGCTTTTGAATGAGAAAAATTATGAATTTCCAAATGTTGAGACATTGATAGTTGCAACTGTGTTCTGCTGCTGATGGTGTTGATGATGTTGATGTTGATGGTGTTGATGCGTTTGCAGAGCAGTACAAGCTGCGCTGTCGGAAGGATGAGTTCCGATGCACGCGGAACGAGTACTGCATCCTCAAGGTGTACCAGTGTGACGGAGAGGATGACTGTGGGGACTGGGAGGACGAACTCCAGTGTGGTCAGTACCTACCTCTCTCATAATAGTCTCTCCCACCGTATACTTGCTGTATGTGTTGATGGGTGACGCCATTCTCTGAATGTAGGGGATCAAGGAAGACATACATGGGTACAGCGACAGTGTTAGTTTGTTTGTTGTTTAACACCGCACTCAGCAATATTCCAGCTATATGACAGTGGTCTGTAAATAATTGAGTCTGGACTTGAAATCCAGTTATTGATATCATGAGCATCAATGCAAGTAATTGGGATCAATGACATGCTTCAACAAAGTCAGCGTGCCTGACCACTCGATCACGGTAGTCGCCTCTTACAGCAAACATGGGTTGCTGAAGACCTATTCTACCCCGGATCTTCAAGGGTCCAGTGACTGTGTGAAAAAATAGTGAAATTGTTAAAGACCCGTGAAGATCCGGGGTAGAATAGATCTTCAGCAACCCATGCTTGCCGTAAAAGGCGACTGTGCTTGTCGTAAAAGGCAACTAACAGGATCGGGTGGTCAGACTCGTCGACTCGTCGATGCTCATGATATCAATAACTGGATTGTCTGGTCCAGACTTGATTATTTACAGACCGATGTCATATAGCTGGAATATTGCTGAGTGCGGCGTTAAACAACAAACAAACCAACCAAGAAATTGTTAAAAGTTAATGTTTTGTGGTGCTTGTGTTCTCTGTGGGGGTTGACACGGGACTGAATGTACAATTTCTCACCGTCTCCTCAGGCACCAACTACTGCAACTTAGGGGAGTTCAACTGCACCAATGGTGTCTGTATCCATGACAACTGGCGCTGTGACGGAGACTGGGATTGTGAAGATGGCTCTGATGAACACAACTGCAGTAAGTTTGGGTTGGATTCCTCAAATTGGAACACCGCCTCCATGACCTAGTGGATGAAGCATCTACTGGAGAGTGGAAGGTCGGTGGTTCGATCCTGAGCTGGTCATAGAAAAAGAGGTACTTTTTGTTACCCTGCCCCTTGTGGTTATCTCAGAGGATTAGCACCAGACTATGCTGTCACACAGTTGCATGCATGCTGCTATAGAAGTCTATGATATTAAACCCCATTTCACCTCAGCAAGTGTGTACAATGTGTGATGCCTACTTCTGATTGTGATATGACTGGAATACAGCTGGAAGTGGGGTAGACCCTACACACACTCACTAAGTCATAGAGCCTTGTTCGTTTGCCAATGCTCCTGCTATCAGTATGTTAAATAGATCGTTCTGTCTGGTTTCATCAGTTTCCAAAATGTGTTGTTTGTTTGAAACCATTGCCATATAGTCCCACGTGTGTAACGTGTTGTGGTGTTTCTGCAGCCAATGTGACGACAGCTGTGGGCAAGTGCAAGAAAGAGGAATTCACCTGCAGCAACGGCCACTGCATCAACAAGACACAGCGCTGTGACGGCAACATTGACTGCTCAGACAACAGCGACGAGGAGCACTGCAGTAAGTTACATCCACTGTCTGCTTCAGACTCCATTATGTTATGTTCTTTTCTGTTGGTTTGTTAGTTTAACGTCACACTCAGCAATATTACAGCTACATGACAGCAGTCTGTAAATATTCAAGTCTGGAGCATGCAGCTCAGTGATTGATATCATGAGCATAGATCTACACAAACAGTATAGGTTGAGATGCATCAACCAAGTTGCTGATGACCAATTCTAATCTGGATCTTCATGGTGTCTCTGTTGCACTGCCTGCAGTGATGATGCTGGGATGTGGCTGCCAATGGAGCAGGAGTCTCTCACTCAGGATGATGTTGTTTGTTTGTTGATGTTACAGAGGTGAAGCAGTGCAGTCAAGGACAGTTCCGATGCAAGAACAACCGGTGTATCGGCCTCCAGAAGGTCTGCAACGGTATCAATGAATGTCAGGACAACTCGGATGAACAGAACTGCAGTGAGTACACACCCTCTATCTCAGGCTGTCATGCATCATCTTGCTTAGTCCTGCTCCGACTATATTGCTAAGTACTGCTCGACCATCTTGCTTAGTCCTTCTTCGTCCTGCTCCGACCATCTTGCTTAGTCCTGCTCCGACCATCTTGCTTAGTCCTGCTCCGACCATCTTGTTTAGTCCTGTTCCGACCTACTTGCTTAGTCCTGCTCCAACCATCTTGCTTAGTCCTGCTCCAACCATCTTGCTTAGTCCTGCTCCAACCATCTTGCTTCGTCCTGCTCCGACCATCTTGCTTAGTCCTGCTCCGACCATCTTGCTTTGTCCCGCTCAAACCATCTTGCTTTGTCCTGCTCCGACCGTCTTGCTTAGTCCTGCTCCGACCATCTTGCTTAGTCCTTCTCCGACCATCTTGCTTAGTCCTGCTCCGACCATCTTGCTAAGTCCTGCTCCGACCATCTTGCTAAGTCCTGCTCCGACCATCTTGCTAAGTCCTGCTCCGACCATCTTGCTTAGTCCTTCTCCAACCATCTTGCTTAGTCCTGCTCCAACCATCTTGCTTAGTCCTTCTCCAACCATCTTGCTTAGTCCTGCTCCAACCATCTTGCTTAGTCCTGCTCCGACCATCTTGCTTAGTCCTGCTCCAACCATCTTGCTTAGTCCTGCTCCAACCATCTTGCTTAGTCCTGCTCCGACCATCTTGCTTAGTCCTTCTCCAACCATCTTGCTTAGTCCTTCTCCGACCATCTTGCTTAGTCCTGCTCCAACCATCTTGCTTAGTCCTGCTCCGACCATCTTGCTTAGTCCTTCTCCAACCATCTTGCTTAGTCCTGCTCCAACCATCTTGCTTAGTCCTGCTCCGACCATCCTGCTTAGTCCTGCTCCGACCATCTTGTTTAGTCCTGTTCCGACCTACTTGCTTAGTCCTGCTCCAACCATCTTGCTTAGTCCTGCTCCAACCATCTTGCTTCGTCCTGCTCCGACCATCTTGCTTAGTCCTGCTCCGACCATCTTGCTTTGTCCCGCTCAAACCATCTTGCTTTGTCCTGCTCCGACCGTCTTGCTTAGTCCTGCTCCGACCATCTTGCTTAGTCCTTCTCCGACCATCTTGCCTAGTCCTGCTCCGACCATCTTGCTAAGTCCTGCTCCGACCATCTTGCTAAGTCCTGCTCCGACCATCTTGCTTAGTCCTGCTCAAACCATCTTGCTTAGTCCTGCTCCGACCATCTTGCTTAGTCCTTCTCCAACCATCTTGCTTAGTCCTTCTCCGACCATCTTGCTTAGTCCTGCTCCAACCATCTTGCTTAGTCCTGCTCCGACCATCTTGCTTAGTCCTTCTCCAACCATCTTGCTTAGTCCTGCTCCGACCATCTTGCTTAGTCCTTCTCCAACCATCTTGCTTAGTCCTGCTCCAACCATCTTGCTTAGTCCTGCTCCGACCATCTTGCTTAGTCCTTCTTCCAACCATCTTGCTTAGTCCTGCTCCAACCATCTTGCTTTGTCCTGCTCCGACCATCTTGCTTAGTCCTTCTCCAACCATCTTGCTTAGTCCTGCTCCAACCATCTTGCTTAGTCCTGCTCCAACCATCTTGTTTAGTCCTGCTCCGACCATCTTGCTAAGTCCTGCTCCGATCATCTTGCTTAGTCCTGCTCCAACCATCTTGCTAAGTCCTGCTCCGACCATCTTGCTAAGTCCTGCTCCGATCATCTTGCTTAGTCCTGCTCCAACCATCTTGCTAAGTCCTGCTCCGACCATCTTGCTTAGTCCTTCTCCGACCATCTTGCTAAGTCCTGCTCCGACCATCTTGCTTAGTCCTGCTCCAACCATCTTGTTTAGTCCTGCTCCGACCATCTTGCTTAGTCCTTCTTAGTCCTGCTTCAACCATCTTGCTAAGTCCTGCTCCAACCATCTTGCTTAGTCCTGCTCCAACCATCTTGCTTAGTCCTGCTCCAACCATCTTGCTTAGTCCTGCTCCGACCATCTTGCTTAATCCTGCTCCAACCATCTTGCTAAGTCCTGCTCCAACCATCTCGCTTAGTCCTTCTCCGACCATCTTGCTTAGTCCTGCTCCGATCATCTTGCTTAGTCCTGCTCCGACCATCTTGCTTAGTCCTTCTTAGTCCTGCTCCGATCATCTTGCTTAGTCCTGCTCCGACCATCTTGCTTAGTCCTTCTTAGTCCTGCTCCAACCATCTTGCTTTGTCCTGCTCCGACCATCTTGCTTAGTCCTGCTCCAACCATCTTGCTTAGTCCTTCTTAGTCCTGCTTCAACCATCTAACTTAGTCCTGCTCCGACCATCTTGCTTAGTCCTGCTCCAACCATCCTGCTTAGTCCTGCTCCGACCATCATGCTTAGTCCTGCTCCGACCATCTTGCTAAGTCCTTCTTAGTCCTGCTCCGACCATCTTGCTTAGTCCTGCTCCAACCATCTTGCTTAGTCCTTCTTAGTCCTGCTTCAACCATCTTGCTTAGTCCTGCTCCAACCATCCTGCTTAGTCCTGCTCCGACCATCTTGCTTAGTCCTGCTCCGACCATCTTGCTAAGTCCTTCTTAGTCCTGCTACAACGATCTAGCTCAGCCCTTCTTAGTCGTATTATGCATTGAGTGTGAAGCAGATCAGTCAAAGAGCCCGAAGATTATACTTATGACTTCCATCTGAAACTACTTGGAGACAAATATTGATTTATTCGAGATCTTTAGGGCATTGATCAGTCAAATATCCTGCTATCAAGGGGTCAAGGTTACATGATGATGGCCATAAGAAATATAAAATGAGCATAAATCTGAATAGATTGTTGGTAAAGTTCTGTATTCTTGTCCAGGCTTGCCGATGTCATGTGGCAGTAACCAAGGCAACTGTTCCCACCAGTGCGTGCAGACAAGTATCGGGGCTAAATGTACATGTCCAGTGGGCTACCAGCTGGCCAACAACAAGAGAACTTGTGAAGGTAGGCAGTCCGTCCCATACAGCCATTGACCTCCATGTTGGTGATGACTAGCTATGTTTGATCTCCGTGTTGGTATTGACTAGCCATGTTTGACCTCCATGCTGGTGATGACTAGCCATGTTTGATCTCCATGTTGGTGATGACTAGCCATGTTTGACCTCCATGTTGGTGATGACTAGCCATGTTTGATCTCCATGTTGGTGATGACTAGCCATGTTTGATCTCCATGTTGGTGATGACTAGCTATGTTTGATCTCCATGTTGGTGATGACTAGCTATGTTTGATCTCCATGTTGGTGATGACTAGCCATGTTTGACCTCCATGCTGGTGATGACTAGCCATGTTTGATCTCCATGTTGGTGATGACTAGCCATGTTTGACCTCCATGTTGGTGATGACTAGCCATGTTTGATCTCCATGTTGGTGATGACTAGCTATGTTTGATCTCCATGTTGGTGATGACTAGCCATGTTTGACCTCCATGCTGGTGATGACTAGCCATGTTTGATCTCCATGTTGGTGATGACTAGCCATGTTTGATCTAAATGTTGGTGATGACTAGCCATGTTTGACCTCCATGCTGGTGATGACTAGCCATGTTTGACCTCCATGTTGGTGATGACTAGCCATGTTTGAACTCCATGTTGGTGATGACTAGCCATGTTTGATCTAAATGTTGGTGATGACTAGCCATGTTTGATCTCCATGTTGGTGATGACTAGCCATGTTTGATCTCCGTGTTGGTGATGACTAGCCATGTTTGATCTCCATACTGGTAATGACTAGCCATGTTTGATCTCCATACTGGTGATGACTAGCCATGTTTGATCTCCATGTCGGTGATGACTAGCCATGTTTGACCTCCATGTTGGTGATGACTAGCCATGTTTGACCTCCATGCTGGTGATGACTAGCCATGTTTGATCTCCATGTTGGTGATGACTAGCCATGTTTGAGCAAAAATATGTTTTTTTAACCTCTATTTTTAATTTTGATTTTGCGTTTTGAATGTGTGTTTGCCTGCTCTCGGGCGTGTTGTGTTGTACAAGTGTCAACAGGAAAGCCTTGACTCGCTTCTAGCACAGACAGTGGCTGGGTGGAGCAGGGAGATTTTACGTGTTCTTCTTGCAACCTCTTCTCCTGTCAGCTGCACAGCAGGAAGGATGTGGTGGCCATGTTCCTCTCTGTTGGCAGATATAAAATATAAACACTACCCAAAGTACTCTCAACCTATACTGATGACAATTATTTATGTAAGGCTAAAAAAATTAAATAATTGGTTCTCAGGCAATGACTTTTGGATAAATAGTGCGTCCAAACTAGTATCCAAATAATTTGTCTCGTTTCGTCCAGCATTTTACTGACAAGGTTCAAGACGCAGAATATTTAGCAATTTTTTATTTTTTTTAAATGGACGTAAAAACAAAACGTGTCGACGGACTTGATGATACGATATGCAGTGGTGCCTGAGAACCAAGACAAATAGAATTTAGCTTAAGGACACTAGTGTTTATTTTGGAGTTTCTCGAACTGTCTTACACATTTGAGGGAGTTTGGTGGCATCTCTAGTCAGAATGAAACAATGTCGTTGCAGACTTTGACGAGTGTGAGTTTGACGGAACCTGCAGTCAGATGTGTGAGAACACCCGGGGCTCGTACAAGTGCTCCTGTGTCACCGGCTACCGACTCAAGCCGGACGGACGAGGCTGCAAGGCTCTCGGTAAGTATATACACTATGAACATCTGGGGTAGAATAGGTCTTTAACAACCCATGCTTGCCATAAAAGGCGACTGTGTTTGTCGTAAGAGGCCACTAACGTGATCAGGTAGTCAGTCTCGCTGACTTGGTTGATGCATGTCATCGTATCCCAAATGCGTGGATCGATGCTCATGATGTCAATCACTAGATTGTCTTGTCCAGACTCGATTATTTACAGACTGCCGTCATGTAGCTGGAATATTGCTGAGTGCAGTGTTAAAACAAACAAACAAACAAAGCAAACAAACTATGAAGTAGGAGTCTCGCCCCTCGTGACTATGGCTGCGAGGATCTCAGTGACTGAATAAGGTAGAAGCCTACTGTATGGTTGTGGCTCATGAAGAGTTCAGTATATCTTTTATACTATGTAAGTGCAGGCAAGTACTTAGCTGGTGGTGTTCTTGCTCTGCTGCATCTTCCTGAGTCAGGGGAGTTATCCGACTATGAAACTCCAGTTTGCACCCTTGCCGACCTAGGCTGGAATAATGGAGTTTTGTTTTGTTTGGGCTGGACTAATGAAGTCAGAAAGTCTTGACTGGGTGCTACAATTTTGGTAAAAGCAAATGCAAGTGATATGAGAGGTTGAATCTGATTAGTCAATAGAAGGGACATAACTTGTAATAGCCCAGAAATTCCAGCCTAGTTCGGGATGGTGGAAACTGAACTTTTACAGTGAGTTAACGCCCTTGCCCCTAGCAGATGGCTCTTGAGGAACTTGAGAAAATATATGGAATTCTTCCATTTCCAAGGCAACAATTTTTACTTAGGTTCAAATTTCTTTGTGCAAGTTTCAAGGCAGGTGCTGAGCCAGTCCCTTGTGCTATTCAGGAACTTGAGAACCTCTCATTATGCACTCTCTTTCCTCGCAGGGGGAGAGGCCTATCTGATATTTGCCAACCGTGTGGACATCCGAAGAGTGACAACTGACCGCTCCGAGTACACGTCCATCCTAGAGGGGCTGCGCAACGCCATCGCACTGGACTTCCACCACGAGAAGGGGCTGGTCTTCTGGTCGGACATCACCCTGGACAAGATCAAGCGGGCGTACCTCAACGGGAGCAAGATCAAGGAGATCGTGGCAGATGGCCTGGAGAGCCCCAGTAAGTCACGATGAAGGTGTTGATGGCATGTGTAGGCCTGAACCATCAGGCTATCACTGTGGTGTTGATGGCATGTGTAGGCCTGAACCATCAGGCTATCACTGTGGTGTTGATGGCATGTGTAGGCCTGAACCATCAGGCTATCACTGTGGTGTTGACGGGTGTGTAGGCCTGAACCATCAGGCTATCACTGTGGTGCTGATGGCATGTGTAGGCCTGAACCATCAGGCTATCACTGTGGTGCTGACGGCATGTGTAGGCCTGAACCATCAGGCTATCACTGTGGTGCTGATGGCATGTGTAGGCCTGAACCATCAAGCTATCACTGTGGTGATGATGGCATGTGTAGGCCTGAACCATCAGGCTATCACTGTGGTGCTGATGGCATGTGTAGGCCTGAACCATCAAGCTATCACTGTGGTGCTGATGGCATCTGTAGGCCTGAACCATCAGGCTATCACTGTGTTGCTGATGGCATCTGTAGGCCTGAACCATCAGGCTATCACTGTGGTGCTGATGGCATGTGTAGACCTGAACCATCAAGATATCACTGTGGTGTTGATGGCATGTGTAGGCCTGAACCATCAAGCTATCACTTAGGTGCTGATGGCATGTGTAGGCCTGAACCATCAAGCTATCACTTAGATGCTGATGGCATGTGTAGGCCTGAACCATCAGGCTATCACTTAGGTGCTGATGGCATGTGTAGGCCTGAACCATCAGGCTATCACTGTGTTGCTGATGGCATGTGTAGGCCTGAACGATCAGGCTATCACTGTGGTGCTGATGGCATGTGTAGGCCTGAACCATCAGGCTATCACTGTGGTGCTGATAGCATGTGTAGGCCTGAACCTTTCACAGTTCGTAATAAACCTAAGCATTGTCGATGTACAATGACAAGTGAGTTCGTTATATCAATTATTTTGTTAAAAGCATGTTCGTTTTATCCATTAATTATATATGCTAAAATATACAACCAATTGCCGTGACCGAAGAAATAATGCATTATATCCATCAGTTCGTCATAAACGTTGTTTACTGTACTGCCATTCCTGTTCTAATGACTGCATGTGACAGTCTGGACTATTTTCTAAACTGCTATAGCCAAGACTCACTAGTTCCCTCTCTCACCACCAGGTGGACTAGCAGTAGACTGGGTGCACAACATGCTGTTCTGGACTGATGCCGGTACGTCACGGATTGAGGTCGCCGACCTTGAAGGCAACCATCGTAAAGTCCTTATTTGGGAGAACCTGGAGAAGCCACGTGCCATCGCAGCCCATCCAAAACGAGGGTGAGCCAGCAAGACAGTTGTACTGGGATACATTGACTATGATGACCATCTATCCCTCAGCTTCTCAGCAACATGGGACGGTCAGGTAGCCTCGTGGTTAAAGCATTCGCTCGTCATGTATAAGACCCAGGCTCGATTCCCGTCATGGGTACAATGTGTGAAGCCCATTTCTGGTGTCCTCTGCCATGATATTGCTGAAATATTGCTAAAAGCGGCGTAAATATCACTCACTCACTCACTCACTCACTCACTCACTCACTCACTCACTCACTCACTCACTCACTCACTCACTCACTCACTCACTCACTCACTCACTCACCCACTCACTCACTCACTCACTCACTCACTCACTCTGAATATTGTCTGAAGTTGTCTCAATATCATATGTCCTGGAATTTATTGTTTCAGTGTTTGAATAAAAAAATATTGTCTGGCTTCCAGCAGGATTCACAGACTTTAGAAGCTGCAGCACTGACCAAACTGCAGGTCCTCATTTCAAAAACTGCAGCTTATTGTGACAGATATATCTACACATAGATTTACTGCAAGCCATAAGGACCAAATTTTTTTTTTAAATTATGGAACCGACACAAGATCTACCTGCCATGGGCCTAGGGGCAAGCGCTTATTCCAAACACTGTATTGCATATCACATTGTACATATTGTATATTACACGTCCTGATATACATTTTATATCATCACATGTCCTGATATGCATTGTATATCGTGTCCCTGATAAATGAGGTGTACCGACAAGATGGGATGATAAAAGATGTTATATTTGGGAAAACACTTTCTCAGTAAAGTACTTTTTAGGGTTGAGTCCCATCCGGGATTCGAACCAACACTGTCAGAGTGAGACACCAGCGCACAAAGTCAGAGGTCTAACCCAGCCACCGAGGCTTCTACAAAAATGAAAGTCTGACAACTGGTAGCCTAGATCACATACTTTGTGTACCCTTCTGACAAGTGAAAAGCGGGACAGCTCCCATGGCCAAAACACACAAGAAAGTGGTCAAATGTAACAGATGTGTGCTGGCAATTAGGTGCCCCACTTTCTTAACGCATTGGGTGTTCAAAGATGTGACGATGTATTGTGTGGTGATAGTTTGTGAAGGTGGTGATATTAACCCCGTATGTCCTGGTTGACCTGCATTATTGTTCAAAGTGACTGACTTGTGTTGTTTTCTTACAGCGCCATCTTCTGGACCGACTGGGGCAGCACTCCTAAGATCGAGCGCGCCAGCATGGATGGCAGCGAGAGGATGCTTCTGGCCAACACCTCGCTGTTCTGGCCCAACGGCCTCACGGTGGACTACGCAGCTGAGCGCATCTACTGGGCCGACGCCAAACACCACGTCATTGAGTGCTCCGACCTCGTGGGCAAGAACAGGCGCACAGTCATCAATGAAGGTTGGTTGGTTGGTTTGTTGTTTTACGCCGCACTCAGCAATATTCCAGCTATATGACGGCGGTCTGTAAATAATCGAGTCTGGACCAGACAATCCAGTGATTGATATAATGAGCATCAATCCATGCAATTGGGATCAATGACATGCATCAACCAAGTCAGTGAGCCTGACCACCCGATCCTGCCTGTCGCCTTTTATGGCAAGCATAGTCACCTTTTACGGCAAGCATGGGTTGCTGATGTCCCCTGCTGTGATATTGCTGGAATATTGATAAAAGCGGCATAAAGCCATAATCACTCACTTTTGTTGCCAGGTCTGCCCCACCCCTTTGCCCTGACGATGTTCGAGGATGAGCTCTACTGGACCGACTGGCACACAAAGAGTATCAATAAGGCCAATAAGTTCAATGGCAACGAAGTGGAGACAATCCGGAACCGCCTCCACTACCCAATGGACATCCACACCTTCCACCCTCAGCGACAACCTCCGAGTAAGTAATACATATTATAGTAGGACATATTGTTATCAGCCCTTATGGGGGATCTCCTGTTACCAGTAGTGGTTAGGGGGGGTCTCTTGTTATCAGTACTGGTTGGGGGTCTCTTGTTATCAGTGCTGGTTGGGGGGTCTCTTGTTACCAGTACTGGTTGGGGGATCTCTTGTTATCAGTGCTGGTTGGGGGTCTCTTGTTATCAGTACTGGTTGGGGGTCTCTTGTTATCAGTGCTGGTTGGGGGGTCTCTTGTTATCAGTACTGGTTAGGGGTCTCTTGTTATCAGTACTTGTTGGGGGGTCTCTTGTTATCAGTACTGGTTGGGGGTCTCTTGTTATCAGTGCTGGTTGGGGGGTCTCTTGTTACCAGTACTGGTTGGCGGTCTCTTGTTACCAGTACTGGTTGGGGGGTCTCTTGTTATCAGTACTGGTTGGGGGGGTCTCTTGTTATCAGCCCTTATAGGGATCTCTTGTTATCAGTACTTGTTGGGGGGTCTCACTCACTCACTCACTCACTCACTATGCCATTATGTTCGCAGCCCGGAACCACTGTCGGAACAACAATGGCCGCTGCAGCCATCTGTGTCTCCCCAATGAGAAGAGCTTCTCATGTGCGTGTCCCACCGGCCTCCAGCTCCAGGCAGACAGGAAGAAGTGCAGCAAGAGTGAGTACATCAGTCATGACATAAGGGGTTAATCAGTCACTTTGAACAATAATGCAGGTCGACCAGGACAAAAGGGGTTAATCAGTCACTGTCAACAATAATACAGGTCAACCAGGACATAAGGGGTTAATCAGTCCCTATCAACAATAATGCAGGTCAACCAGGACATAAGGGGTTAATCAGTCACTGTCAACAATAATGCAGGTCGACCAGGACATAAGGGGTTAATCAGTCCCTATCAACAATAATGCAGGTCAACCAGGACATAAGGGGTTAATCAGTCACTGTCAACAATAATGCAGGTCGACCAGGACATAAGGGGTTAATCAGTCCCTATCAACAATAATGCAGGTCAACCAGGACATAAGGGGTTAATCAGTCACTGTCAACAATAATGCAGGTCGACCAGGACAAAAGGGGTTAATCAGTCACTGTCAACAATAATGCAGGTCGACCAGGACATAAGGGGTTAATCAGTCACTGTCAACAATAATGCAGGTTGACCAGGACATAAGGGGTTATTCAGTCACTGTCAACAATAATACAGGTCGACCAGGACATAAGGGGTTAATCAGTCACTGTCAACAATAATGCAGGTCGACCAGGACATAAGGGGTTAATCAGTCACTATCAACATTAATGCAGGTCGACCAGAACATAAGGGGTTAATCAGTTACTGTCAACAATAATGCAGGTCGACCAGGACATAAGGGGTTAATCAGTCACTATGAACAATAATGCAGGTCGACCAGGACATAAGGGGTTAGTCAGTCACTGTCAACAATAATGCAGGTCGACCAGGACATAAGGGGTTAGTCAGTCACTGTCAACAATAATGCAGGTCGACCAGGACATAAGGGGTTAGTCAGTAACTGTCAACAATAATGCAGGTCGACCAGGACATAAGGGGTTAGTCAGTCACTGTCAACAGTAATGCAGGTCGACCAGGACATAAGGGGTTAATCAGTCACTGTCAACAATAATGCAGGTCGACCAGGACATAAGGGGTTAATCAGTCACTGTCAACAATAATGCAGGTCGACCAGGACATAAGGGGTTAGTCAGTCACTGTCAACAATAATGCAGGTTGACAAGGAAATAAAGGATGAATTATAAGGTTATTATAACCGCCTATCCTGAACCTGCCACAACTTCTCTGTTTTTGCTTATTAAGCAATATTGTCATCATCTTCTTTCTTTGAGAGTCTGTGGGGTAGCCAAGTGGTTAAAGCGTTCACTCATCACGCCGAAGACCCGGGTTTGATTCCCGGGTACAATGTGTAAATCCCATTTCTGGTGTCCCCTGCAGTGATATTGCTGGAATATTGCTAAATGCTGCATAAAACCATACTTACTCACTCACTCACTTTTTGAGAGTCGGTTGCTTGCTATTATAGGCGACTATGCTTGTCGTAAGAGGCGACTAACATAGTACTCTCACACGTCTCGGGAATCGATATACCAGGAGTATGGGATCCTGTGGAACAACATGCCCAGGATGAGGACTGTGTTTCCTTCCCTCAGTCAATTTCTACATAGGAATTGTTATTTTTCCTGAATATATATATATATATATATATATATCTAGGACTAGTTCATGAGACCCGTGAAGATCCGGGGTAGAATAGGTCTTCCGATAGGGGCGTAACACCAAGCTCACGGTTGCTTTGAAACAAAAGATAAAAAATACCGTACGTCTCCCCTCACTTTCCTGAAAGAATTGATGATACGGACTATACATCATGTCAGTACAGGATGAAGATAACATTGAGTTTTTACTCGAGGGTTTCTATTTTAATTGGGTTATTACATTTTTCATTGGGTAACCAATATTCTTCCACTCATCTATTCATCCCTCTATTGGGTTTTTCTCAAAATTAGTGAACATTTTAAGATTTAAAAAAATGAAGTAATCAGCTTGTAGTTGTGTTTCCGAAATTAGCTCCCTTGTTCTCATCCCGAAACAGCTTCATTGGGTATTTACGCGAGCTGTTCTTTTGAGTTTTTCATTTAATGCATGCGTTTCTGCATGCAAGTTAATTGAAAGTAATATTGGGGGGGGGCTATTTTACACAAATGCGCTGCTTATCTGTAGCTCTTCATCACTGATGTTTTTTGTTTGAGTAATTTCACATTTTTCTTTTGCAGACATTGAGTCTTTCTTGCTGTTCTCTACCCAATCCGACATCCGTCGCGTGACTCTGGACACACCCGACCTGACTGATGTCGTCATCCCACTCTCGGGCATCTCCCGTGCAGTGGGGGTCGAGTGGGACAGTGAAACAGACTCCATATTCTGGTCTGATGTCGGCTCAGATGTCATTGGGCGCGCTCGGTGGGACGGGACTGGAGACGAGGTGAGTGGTATAGAGTTATCTCCCCTTAAAGCTGATGTGAGTAGTATAGTGTTATCTCCCCTTATAGTGGAGGTGAGTAGTATAGAGCTGTCTCCCTTATTAGCTGATGTGAGTAGTATAGAGTTATCTCCCCTTGTAGTCGAGGTGAGTAGTATACAGACAATTGTGTGCTTTCCGTCCAATACTTTCATGACTTAAATCTGTTGTCACAACTTGCCCCTACAGAGTTATCTCCCCTTGACCTGTCCTTGTTAATCTGTCGCAGACGTCTGTTCTCACAGCTTGCCCCTGCAGAGTGATCTCCCCTTGACCTGTCCTTGTTAACAGTAGTACACGGTCATAGATTCTGTCTCTAGTTACATGAAGCACCATCTGTTCAACACATTTGGCTTCTGTAGAGTTATCTCCCCTTGACCAGAGCTCTCCTGTTGCAGCACATCGTGGGGTCCAGCCTGGACAGTCCGGCTGGTCTGGCTCTGGACTGGGTTGCCCGGAAGATCTACTGGACGGATGCTGGGAATGACCGCATAGAGGTAGCCAACCTGAACGGATCCATGAGGACAGTGCTACTGTGGGAGAACTTCGACCATCCCCGAGACATCGTTGTGGACCCACGGGCAGGGTGTGTATGCTGGATGTGTACTGTAAGCGTGTTGTGTTGTGTTGTTGTATCGAGACAAAATGTGACATATTTGGAATATATTTCAATTGTATGAGTATCAGTTTAAGAGATTGTGGAAATAAAGTTTGCAAGATAGGATAAACTGTCTGAGGGTGAGCTGAACGTGCAGCATTTCAAAACATCCGACTTGCCATGATATGCCAAGTGAGATGAGATGGGGTTTAACGTAGCATTCAAGATTATTGCACTTACATAGCAATGTACATGCATGCATGTGTGTGCGTGGCTGCTTGTACTGGTCCAGACTGATGCCGATTTATAGTGCTAGCCCGCTTGTATACCATGCTGCAGTTAAACATGAATACCCCACTCAGTCACAGTGTACTGACTTCAAGCCGACCAGTCCTTGTTGTAGCCCCTTAATGCTGAGTGCCAGACAGGGAAACAGCAAGTAATCTTTTAATGTATTTTGGTGTGACGCGGCCAGGGATCAAAACCACCAGGTAGTCGCATTGCTATGAAACAAACACATTCTTTGAAAAAAAATCGCCTGATTTACATGAAACAAGAGTTTTGGTTCTTGGTGGGAATAATATCTCAGCTGTGACCTTCACCTCCAGGTTCATGTACTGGACTGACTGGGGAAAGAAGCCGAAGATCGAGCGGTCAGGGATGGATGGCAGCGGGCGCATCATCCTCATCAACAAGAACCTCACCTGGCCAAATGGTCTGGCCATCGACTACGACAGGAGCAGGTTGTACTGGACGGACGCAGGAGAGAAAACTATCGAGTCTTGCACACTGCATGGAGCTGAGAGGAAGGTATGTCCCTCAGTAGAGGAGAGTCTGTTTGTTGAGGGTTGACTTTATGGAGGGTCTGTTTGTTGAGGGTTGACTTTATGGAGGGTCTGTTTGTTGAGGGTTGACTTTATGGAGGGTCTGTTTGTTGAGGGTTGACTTTATGGAGGGTTTGTTTGTTGAGGGTTGACTTTATGGAGGGTCTGTTTGTTGAGGGTTGACTTTATGGAGGGTCTGTTGAGGGTTGACTTTATGGAGGGACTGTTTGTTAAGGGTTGACTTTATGGAGGGTCTGTTTGTTGAGGGTTGACTTTATGGAGGGTCTGTTTGTTGAGGGTTGACTTTGTGGAGGGTCTGTTTGTTGAGGGTTGACTTTATGGAGGGTCTGTTTGTTAAGGATTGACTTTATGGAGGGTCTGTTGAGGATTGACGTTATGATGGGTCTGTTTGTTGAGGGTTGACTTTATGGAGGGTCTGTTTGTTGAGGGTTGACTTTATGGAGGGTCTGTTTGTTGATGGTTGACTTTATGGAGGGTCTGTTTGTTGATGGTTGACTTTATGGAGGGTCTTTTGAGGGTTGACTTTATGGAGGGTCTGTTTGTTGATGGTTGACTTTATGGAGGGTCTGTTTGTTGAGGGTTGACTTTATGGAGGGTCTTTTGAGGGTTGACTTTATGGAGGGTCTGTCTGTTGAGGGTTGACTTTATGGAGGGTCTGTTTGTTGATGGTTGACTTTATGGAGGGTCTTTTGAGGGTTGACTTTATGGAGGGTCTGTTCTTTGAGGGTTGACTTTATGGAGGGTCTTTTGAGGGTTGACTTTATGGAGGGACTGTTTGTTGATGGTTGACTTTATGGAGGGTCTTTTGAGGGTTGACTTTATGGAGGGTCTTTTCGTTGATGGTTGACTTTATGGAGGGTCTGTTTGTTGAGGGTTGACTTTATGGAGGGTCTTTTGAGGGTTGACTTTATGGAGGGTTGACTTTATGGAGGGTCTTTTGAGGGTTGACTTTATGGAGGGTCTGTCTGTTGAGGGTTGACTTTATGGAGGGTCTGTTTGTTGATGGTTGACTTTATGGAGGGTCTGTTCGTTGAGGGTTGACTTTATGGAGGGTCTGTTAAGGGTTGACTAATGGAGGGTCTGTCTGTTGAGGGTTGACTTTATGGAGGGTCTGTTTGTTGATGGTTGACTTTATGGAGGGTCTGTTCGTTGAGGGTTGACTTTATGGAGGGTCTTTTGAGGGTTGACTTTATGGAGGGTCTGTTCGTTGAGGGTTGACTTTATGGAGGGTCTGTTGAGGGTTGACTTTATGGAGGGTCTGTCTGTTGAGGGTTGACTTTATGGAGGGTCTGTTTGTTGATGGTTGACTTTATGGAGGGTCTGTTCGTTGATGGTTGACTTTATGGAGGGTCTGTTGAGGGTTGACTTCATGGAGGGTCTGTTGAGGGTTGACTTTATGGAGGGTGTGTTCGTTGAGGGTTGACTTTATGGAGGGTCTGTTCGTTGAGGGTTGGCTTTATGGAGGGTCTGTTCGTTGAGGGTTGACTTTATGGAGGTTCTGTTTGTTGAGGGTTATTTTTTGAGAATCTGAGAATTGTCAAGTGTTTTCTTCGTTACTGTCTGTGTTGGTTCTTCATATATTTAGTATGGTAGAGTGTTGAGAAATCTTACATTGAAGGGCAAGTTGAAGACTTTATGCTTGTTTGCCCGTAGAGTGTGATCGCCCTCGGCCTCAACCACCCGTTTGGCCTGGCGCTGAAGGGTTCCCTAATGTACTGGACGGACTGGGAAACACAGAGCATCCACTTCGCCAATAAGTTCACCGGGTCGGAGCGAGGCATCCTGATGAGTCAGCTTGGCCATCTGATGGACATCCATGTCTTCCATAGGTCGCGGGATGAAGGTGAGTCCTTGACCTTGGCTAAATGTAGCCTTGACCTTACCTTGTGACCTTGACCTTACACTCGGTTTAATGGAGACCCTGACCTTGAAGTGGGATGTGTTGTGACCTGGATCTATATATCAAAATAAGGTCAAAGATGGTGACCTGTGTTGTATTGATCTATTACTGATTACTCAGCTTGTCGTGAGACTAGACCCGTGAAGATCCGGGGTAGAATAGGTCTTCAGCAACCCATGCTTGCCTTAAAAGGTGACTAACGGGATCGGGTGGTCAGACTCGCTGACTTGGTTGATGCATGTCATCGATCCCAATTGCGTGGATCAATGCTCATGATATTAATCACTGGATTGTCTGGTCCAGACTCAAATATTTACAGACCGCTGTCATATAGCTGGAATATTGCTGAGTGCTGCGTTAAACAACAAACCAACAAACAAACAAACAAAAACTAATGGGGAAGAGAAGAGCTGATGTAGCAGTACTGCAGAAGGAAACTGGGGTGAATAGCCTCATGGGTGAAGTGAGGTGAGGTGAAATGGGGTTTAATGTCGCGTCCAAGATTATATAGCGACGTGCATGCGCATGTGACTGCTTGTACAAGTCTGAATTGATGCCGATTTATAGTGCTAACCCACTGAGATACCATGCCGCAGTTAAACATGAATACCCCACTTAGACACAGAAAACTGACTCCGAGCCGAACAGTCCTTGTTTTAGTCCCTTAATGCCGAGCGCCAGACAGGGTAACAACAAGTACTATCTTTTAACGTCTTTTGGTATGACGCTGCCGGGAATTGAACCTCGGATCTTCCACTCTCTGGGTGGACACTCTACCACTAGACCACGGAGATGGCCAAATAGCGTCATGGCAACAGAAGTAGAAGGCATGGAGTGAAATGTTTATGTATCATGTCAATGGTTAGTCTGTACAGTGCCTCGTTGGTCAGGTAGTCTCTATACCCCGGGGGGTCGGGTAGCCCAGTGGTTAAAGCGTTCGCTCGTCACGCCGAAGACCCAGGTTCCATTCCCAACATGGGTATTACGTGTGAAGCCCATATCCGGTGTCCCCCGCCGTAATATTGCTGGAATATTGCTAAAAGCGGCGTAAAACCATACTCAATTGCTCGCTCACTCACTCACTCACTCACTCTCTCACTCACTCACTCACTCTACCCTATGCCTCTTACTTCAGTCCACACCAAGTGCAGCACCAACAACGGCGGCTGCAGTCACCTGTGTCTGGTGGCACCACTGCCGAAAGGTCACGCCTGTGCCTGCCCCACAGGAATACTCCTGAAGGACGACCAGAAAACATGTGCCGAAGGTAGGTGACACTGTGTGGAGTCTGGGATAGTAGTGTGTGGAGCTTGCCACATAAACATTTAACTGTACCACTTCATAATATGCTGATAAATCTCAATTTATTTTCAAACCTGAAATTGTTGAATTATGTGAATGTTATTACTTCTTGTAATAGTGTATTGGGTCTAGTCTTCATGTGGCAATTTAGGAACGTCATAAGCTATTGGCCTCCAGGACTCCACGTTTGGTATAGAATTAAGATACAAAATCTCAGATCCCTGACGACTGTATCGTGATTTTACCTAAATTAATGACGTATTGTTGTAACATGAAAAAGGAACATGTCCACATAATCTGGAAGTACCGACAGTGAGACGACAAGCCCACGAAAGCATGACAAGTTGTACAAACACAGGGGTTAGTGGTGTGGTAGGATACACAAAACACAGGGGTTAGTGGTGTGGTAGGATACACAGAACACAGGGGTTAGTGGTGTGGTAGGATACACAGAACACAGGGGTTAGTGGTGTGGTAGGATACACAAAACACAGGGGTTAGTGGTGTGGTAGGATACACAGAACACAGGGGTTAGTGGTGTGGTAGGATACACAGAACACAGGGGTTAGTGGTGTGGTAGGATACACAAAACACAGGGGTTAGTGGTGTGGTAGGATACACAGAACACAGGGGTTAGTGGTGTGGTAGGATACACAGAACACAGGGGTTAGTGGTGTGGTAGGATACACAGAACACAGGGGTTAGTGGTGTGGTAGGATACACAGAACACAGGGGTTAGTGGTGTGGTAGGATACACAGAACACAGGGGTTAGTGGTGTGGTAGGATACACAAAACACAGGGGTTAGTGGTGTGGTAGGATACACAAAACACAGGGGTTAGTGGTGTGGTAGGATACATAAAGGTATTGAGTGAGTTCAAAACTCCTTGTGCGGTCGATTTGTAAGGCTAAAAAAATAATAGTCTTGGTTCTCAGGCACTGCCCACATCACCCTTAAGTCTGCCACACGTTTGTTTTTTTTATTTCCATTTAAAAAATAAAAAATAAATGAAAATCCTAATACTTAAAAACAATGCCATCCAATATAGAACGCAGTTACATCCCTTTACATGCACACTGCTCTCCTGTGCATCTTATGTTGTGGTCATGGCGGCAATAGGAGTTTGTATGCTGTCTATGTAGGGAGGCCTTACCCAGGTTGATGGTACACAACTGTTACATACTAGTTTGAAAAAAAAAGAAAAAGACCATCATCCGCCCGCCCGCCCGCCCGCACTATATTTTCAAAAGTCAGTGTCTGAGACCCATTTCTTTTATTTTTTTAAGCCCAAGTTGTCACACAAAAATTTGAATTTGATTTACATGCACTTGTTGCATGTAGACATAAATATTAGGTTGCACTTTTCAATGATAGGCTGCACTGACATACGTTGTATGTAGCTCAATCGAGCCCTGAGAGAGTTACTTCTTTGAGAGGCATTTAGAAGTTGGACTACTGGGCAAGGATAAGACATATGGATGGACAACTTCTTTCTTACCATTAGGAGCGACGTTTGGTGTAGGTTCTAACATCGTTAGCAAGCAAATGATGATAAACACTGCCTCCTACCTGTTTATATACTGTCAACAATACTCAGAACATCACTTGCCTGATAATGGTGTTAGAACCTACACCGAAAGTTGCTCCTAATTGTAATAAAGAAGTTGTTCATCCATATATCTTATCCTTACCCTACAGAGTTAGTCGTACTTTTATAAAAAGATTTTTTACGAAGATGTTAATTTCCTCAAGGGAGTTATGTAAACTACCTATTCAAAGGAGGTTAAAGAAGACCTGATTTTTTCTTGTGACAGTGGTTAATCTGTCATGGGTGGTGGGTATTGCAACACACAGCCTTCCAGCTGGGGGGGGGGTGGGGGGGTGGAGTTCAGTAGTGGAAAATGTCCGGGGCGCTGCTGCTGAGGCATTGGTGGTCACATGGAGGGTACTTCTGATATTACGTCCCGGGGGGGGTTTGATAGTGGAATATGTCCGGGACACTGCTGCTGAGGCATGGGTTGTCACATGGAGGGTACTTCTGATATTACGTCCCGGGGGGGGTTGATAGTGGAATGTGTCCGGGGCGCTGCTGCTGAGGTATGGGTTGTCACAAGGTGCGACCTGGTTGTGTCATGGCTGTCACCCACTGATTTGGAATATTTCGGACTGTGTCATAAAACAGCATTCACTCACTAACCACTTTTGTTTCTGCTCCTCCAGAGATGACTGACTTCCTCATCTTCACGCGTCGCACCGACATCCGCAAGATCTCCTTGGATGTTGACTACTACGCTGATGTCGTGATCCCCGTTGGACAGCTGAAGAACGCCATCGCCATTGATGTCGACGGTGTGGAAGGTGAGTGTTGGCCGTGTGATGTTGTGATCCCTGTTGGAGATGTGAAGAACGCCATCGCCATTGATGTCGACGATGTTGAAGGTGAGTGTTGATTGTGATGTTGTGATCCCTGTTGGAGAGGTGAAGAACGTCATCGTCATTGCCATTGATGTCGACGGTGTGGAAGTTGAGTGTTGGCCGTGTGTGATGTTGTGATCCCTGTTGGAGAGGTGAAGTACGCCATCGCCATTGATGTTGACGGTGTTGAAGGTGAGTGTTGGCCGATTGTGATGTTGTGATCCCTGTTGGAGACGTGAAGAATGCCATCGCCATCGATGTCGACGGTGTTGAAGGTGAGTGTTGGCCGATTGTGATGTTGTGATCCCTGTTGGAGAGGTGAAGAACGTCATCGCCATCGATGTCGACGGTGTTGAAGGTGAGTGTTGATTGTGATGTTTTGATCCCTGTTGGAGACGTGAAGAACGCCATCGCCATTGATGTCACCGGTGTGGAAGTGAATGTTCCTCTGAGTCACTTACCTGTGAATAATATTTGCACTGAATGATGATCCTGTTGGAATTCAGGAATAGAATTGGTCCCAGGACCCTCTGCTTGTTTGAGGTGAATAAATAAATCAGGAGGCCAGGTGAGAGGTGAATAGATAGGTCAGGTGGTTAGGCTTTGTGACCTGGTTGACAACCTATGCCTTGTTAAACAGCCTTCACCCACTCACTCACTGTATATTGTAGGGAAGATGTACTGGACGGACACAGTGCTGGACCACATCGCTCGGTCCAATCTGGATGGATCCGGGTATGAGGTGGTGATAAACCAGGGCCTCCACACAGCCGATGGGCTAGCTGTCGATGCTGTCGGAGGAAAGATCTACTGGACTGATGATGGCCGCAACCGCATCGAAGTCGCAACTCTAAATGGCAAGATGAGGAAGGTGTTGATCTGGGATGACTTGGACAAGCCCCGGGCGATAGCTCTACATTATGATGCTGGGTAGGTGGGATGTTTACTGCTGTAGTCTACATTATGATGCTGGGTAAGTGGGATGTTTACTGCTGTAGTCTACATTATGATGCTGGGTAAGTGGGATGTTTTGCTGTAGTCTACATTATGATGCTGGGTAGGTGGGATGTTTACTGCTGTAGTCTGCATTATGATGCTGGGTAGGTGGGATGTTTACTCCTGTAGTCTACATTATGATGCTGGGTAGGTGGGATGTTTACTGCTGTAGTCTATATTATGATGCTGGGTAGGTGGGATCTTCACTGCTGTAGTCTACATTATGATGCTTGGTAGGTGGGATGTTTACTGCTGTAGTCTACATTATGATGCTGGTGGGATGTTTACTGCTGTAGTCTACATTATGATGCTTGGTAGGTGGGATGTTTACTGCTGTAGTCTACATTATGATGCTGGGTAGTTGGGATGTTTACTGCTGTAGTCTACATTATGATGCTGGGTAGGTGGGATGTTTACTGCTGTAGTCTACATTATGATGCTGGGTAGGTGGGATGTTTACTGCTGTAGTCTACATTATGATGCTGGGTAGGTGGGATGTTTACTGCTGTAGTCTACATTATGATGCTGGGTAGGTGGGATGTTTACTCCTGTAGCTCTACATTATGATGCTGGGTAGGTGGGATGTTTACTGCTGTAGTCTGCATTATGATGCTGGGTAGGTGGGATGTTTACTCCTGTAGTCTACATTATGATGCTGGGTAGGTGGGATGTTTACTGCTGTAGTCTATATTATGATGCTGGGTAGGTGGGATCTTCACTGCTGTAGTCTACATTATGATGCTTGGTAGGTGGGATGTTTACTGCTGTAGTCTACATTATGATGCTGGTGGGATGTTTACTGCTGTAGTCTACATTATGATGCTTGGTAGGTGGGATGTTTACTGCTGTAGTCTACATTATGATGCTGGGTAGTTGGGATGTTTACTGCTGTAGTCTACATTATGATGCTGGGTAGGTGGGATGTTTACTGCTGTAGTCTACATTATGATGCTGGGTAGGTGGGATGTTTACTGCTGTAGTCTACATTATGATGCTGGGTAGGTGGGATGTTTACTGCTGTAGTCTACATTATGATGCTGGGTAGGTGGGATGTTTACTCCTGTAGCTCTACATTATGATGCTGGGTAGGTGGGAAGTTTACTGCTGTAGTCTACATGCTACATGTTTGTGTGTTATACAGGTATATGTATTGGACGGACTGGGGCAAGATTCCCCGAATCGAAAGAGCCGATATGGACGGCAACAACCGTCACCTCATCATCGGCGAGAACTTGGCCTGGCCCAATGGCCTGGTGATTGACATTCCAACATCTCGCATCATCTGGGCAGATGCTCGAACTGAGGTGTGTAGTTGAGTGTCATAGTCAATATTCACTGCTTCAAAGGTTTGTCCGAGTTTCTTCATGTATATACTGTGCAAGGGTTAGTGACATTTCTAGCTGTTATGTGAATGTCCGGGCTCGAATGGATCTTCAGTAACCCATGCTCATCATATGAGGTGACAAATGGGATCTTTTAGCCAGGCTCACTGACTTGGTTGATGGATGTCATTGAATCCCATCGATGCTCATCATGTTAATCACTGGATTGTCTGGTCCAGACTCAATTGTATACATACTGCAGTCACATAGCTGAATTATTTGCTAAGTGCAATAACAAAACAGACATTCTATGGACTTCTTCTAAATGGCCCTGTAAATTCTTTTGGCTGAGGTCATGAGAAGGTCAAAGGTCAAGGCCACAAGAATACAAATATCATTAAAATGCCAAGGCTCTCAGAAAGTGTTACGTGTGTACCTTTTCTTGGTTAGGGCCCTGCTTTGAAAAGACTGGTCCACATATGTCAGAGGTGAAGGTCAGGGTCGGAACAAACATGACACTTTATGGTTGCGTGTAACTAAACAAATCCCACTACATGTCGTTGTCACGGAGCAATTAGACGATCACTCATGTATTTCAATGTGAGTATATCACTTTGTAAAAAAACACAAATACAAATAAAATAAATGGCTAGTTCAGATGGAAATATATTGTAAGCAGCGCCCAAAACATGTTTGCAAGTGCATCATATATTCCTCACGTTGTCACGTATGTTGTGATGTGTCTCCAGCTGATTGAGTGCTCCGACCTGAACGGCCACCGGCGGCGGAAGCTTGTAGACCACGTGGCCCACCCGTATGGCCTGACGGTGGCTGGCAACTACGTGTACTGGACGGACTGGCAGGCAACCGCGGTGCACAAGGCCAACAAGAACACCGGCTCAAACCCAACAAAGATCAGGGAGAATCTACCCGGGATCATGGACATGCATGCAGTGCAGGTCAACAGACAAGGTGGGTGGACCAGCAGGGTGGGGTGGGTGGACCGGCAGGGTGGGGTGGGTGGACCGGCAGGGTGGGGTGGGTGGACCGGCAGGGTGGAGTGGGTGGACCGGCAGGGTGGGGTGGGTGTACCAGCAGGGTTGGTGGACCGGCAGGGTGGGTGGGTGGACCGGCAGGGTGGGGTGGGTGGCCCGGCAGGGTTGGGTGGGCGGACTGGCAGGGTGGGGTGGGTGGACCGTTAGGGTGTTGTGGTGGACCGGCAGGGTGGGGTGGTGGACCGGCAGGGTTGGGTGGGTGGACCGGCAGGGTGGGTGGACCGGCAGGGTTGGGTGGGTGGAACGGCAGGGTGGGTGGACCGGCAGGGTGGGTGGACCGGCAGGGTGGGGTGGGTGGAACGGCAGGGTGGGCTGGGTGGACCGTTAGGGTGTTGTGGTGGACCGGCAGGGTGGGGTGGTGGACCGGCAGGGTTGGGTGGGTGGACCGGCAGGGTGGGTGGACCGGCAGGGTGGGCAGGGTGGACTGGCAGGGTGGGGTGGACCGGCAGAGTGGGGTGGGTGGATTCTTGTAATGAGAGAAGGTGTGACTGCTGTGTTGTATTGAGACAAGGTGTGACAGCTGTGTTGTATTATTGACCACTGATGTTTCCTTTTTGCCAGAGACTCACGTGAACCGCTGTGGAGACCAAAACGGAGGCTGCTCCCACCTGTGCCTGCCCCGCCCCAAGGGGATGACATGTGCCTGTCCCTCAGGGCTCCTGCTGAAGGAGGACGGACAGACGTGTGAAGACTGTAAGTATTGTACACCCATGTCTACTGTGTTTTCGTAGCACGCACATCATGCTGAAGACCTAGCTTGATTCTACATATGGTTCACTATTGTTTGATGTCCAGTCTTGGTTTCAAGTGTAGAACTTCCAGATGTATGCATATATCCTTGTATTTCCATGTATATCCTCGTATATCTTTGTATATCCTTGTGTATCCTCGTATATCCTCGTATATCTTTGTATATCCTTGTGTATCCTCTTATATCTTTGTATATCCTTGTGTATCCTCGTATATCCTCTTATATCTTTGTATATCCTTGTGTATCCTCATATCTTTGTATATCCTTGTGTATCCTCGTATATCCTATTATATCTTTGTATATCCTTGTGTATCCTCTTATATCTTTGTATATCCTTGTGTATCCTCGTATATCCTCTTATATCTTTGTATATCCTTGGATATCCTTGTGTATCCACGTGTAACCTCATATTTCCTTGTGTATCCTCGTATCTCCACGTATATCCACGTATATCCTCGTATATCCTTGTATATCCTTGTATATCCTTGTATATCCTCGTATATCCTTGTATATCCTCGTATATCCTTGTGTTCCTCCTGCAGTTCCCAAGACATATCTCCTGTTCGCAAGTCGTGGCAGCATCCGTCGCATCTCCCTGGACAGCTATGACCACACAGACGTCTACCTCCCCATCCCCCACCTGCACAACGTTGTCGCCATCGACTTTGACTTCAAGGAGGAGAAGGTGTTCTACTCCGACGTCTACCTGGACGTTATCAGGTTGGTGAATCTAGTCAGGAGACTGGGCAGTATTGATAGGTACTTGGAGGGGATATTTAAACAGGCAGACACAATTATTTGAACAATAAGATGAAAAAGCATGTCCACATCTCAGGGTGAGCCGGGTTGTTTTCCTTCACTGGTATAATTAGACAAGCTACTTAGGAAAATCTACTCTGACGTCATTGATGAATCAATCTCCTGGATTTGAAATATTCCAGGAATTTGTAGTTTATAGTGAGTCTTGTGACATCAGCTTAAGACATTCACTAGGAATGTGAGTGGGTGGCCTTCATCCCATGATGGTTACATCTTCAAAATGCATCCAAGTCAACTTTAATCTGACGGAATTTAACTGTGGCAGACAAGCAGACCTCAACGGGAGCGCCACCAAGAACGTGGTTGAGAAGGAGCTGTCGACAACCGATGGCTTGGCTGTGGATTGGATTGGGAGGAACATCTACTGGACCGACACCGGCCGCGACGTGATCGAAGTGGCCAAACTGGACGGCTCCTGCAGAAAAACTCTCATCTCAGCTCGGCTAGATGAACCCAGGGCCATCGCACTCTTCCCTAAGAAAGGGTAGGTAACTGTTAGTCCATCGCACTCTTCCCTAAGAAGGGGTAGGTAACTGTTGGTCCATCGCACTCTTCCCTAAGAAGGGGTAGGTAACTGTTAGTCCATCGCACTCTTCCCTAAGAAAGGGTAGGTAACTGTTAGTCCATCGCACTCTTCCCTAAGAAAGGGTAGGTAACTGTTGGTCCATCGCACTCTTCCCTAAGAAAGGGTAGGTAACTGTTAGTCCATCCCACTCTTCCCTAAGAAGGGGTAGGTTACTGATAGTCCATTGCACTTTTCCCTAAGAAGGGATAACTAACTGTTAGTCCATCGCACTCTTCCCTAAGAAAGGGTAGGTAACTGTTAGTCCATCACACTCTTCCCTAAGAAAGGGTAGGTAACTGTAAGTCCATTGCACTCTTCCCTAAGAAAGGGTAGGTAACTGTTCATCCATCCCACTCTTTCCTAAGACGATGTGTTTCTTTGTTTCAGATTGATGTTCTGGACTGACTGGGGTGCACAGCCAAAGATCGAGCGAGCGTATCTAGATGGTGCACAGAGGAAAGTCATCGTCCAAAGCAACCTTGGTAAGGAGATGTGTAATTTGTTTCTTTGCTAGTTACTGCAACATGCTATTTGTCTTGTCTCATTGCTAGTTACTGCTACGTGATATTTATATCATTGCTAGTTACTGCTACGTGATATTTATATCATTGCTAGTTACTGCTACATGATATTTATATCATTGCTAGTTACTGCTACATGCTATTTGTCTCATTGCTAGTTACTGCTACATGCTATTTGTCTCATTGCTAGTTACTGCTATGTGATATTTATATCATTGCTAGTTACTTCTACATGCTATTTGTCTCATTGCTAGTTACTGCTACGTGCTATTTGTCTCATTGCTAGTTACTGCTAGATGATATTTATATCATTGCTAGTTACTGCTACGTGCTATTTATATCATTGCTAGTTACTGCTACGTGATATTTATATCATTGCTAGTTACTGCTACATGCTATTTATATCATTGCCAGTTACTGCTACGTGATATTTATATCAATGCTAGTTACTGCTATGTGATATTTATATCATTGCTAGTTACTGCTACATGCTATTTATATCATTGCTAGTTACTGCTACGTGATATTTATATCATTGCTAGTTACTGCTGCATGCTATTTATAGCATTGCTAGTTACTGCTACGTGATATTTATATCAATGCTAGTTACTGCTACATGATATTTATATCATTGCTAGTTACTGCTACATGATATTTATATCATTGCTAGTTACTTCTAAGTGATATTTATATCATTCCTAGTTACTGCTACATGATATTTATATCATTGCTAGTTACTGCTACATGATATTTATATCATTGCTAGTTACTTCTACGTGATATTTATATCATTCCTAGTTACTGCTACATGATATTTATATCATTGCTTGTTACTGCTACGTGATATTTATGTCATACAAGATTTGAACTATTGTGGGGATTCCCGGAAGACTAGGTTCAGAGTAATGTTTGTTTGTTTGAACAGCGAATAAATGACATCTCGTAAATTATATGTCGTTCACTGAAGTCTGTAAAAGCATGAATAGAAAAACCTAACTTCATAACATCAGATTATTATGGACACATACAGACAGATGGACAGACAGGGAAACAGACGGATTGACAGACAGAGGGAAACAGACAGATTGACAGACAGAGGGGACACAGACAGATGGATAGACAGAGGGAAATGGACAGACAGAGGGGAACAGACAGATTGACAGACAGAGGGACACAGACAGATTGACAGACAGAGGGGAACAGACAGATTGACAGACAGAGGGACACAGACAGATTGACAGACAGAGGGACACAGACAGATTGACAGACAGAGGGGAACAGACAGATTGACAGACAGGGACACAGACAGATTGACAGACAGAGGGACACAGACAGATTGACACACAGAGGGAAACAGACAGAGGGACACAGACAGATTGACAGACAAATGGACACAGACAGATTGACAGACAGAGGGAAACAGACAGAGGGACACAGACAGATTGACAGACAAATGGACGTTGTGGTCCTCACAGTGCATGTTTCTTTTCCAGGCTTCCCCAATGGTCTGTCAGTGGACTACGATGCTAGACGCTTGTATTGGGTGGATGCAAAGTTTGACAAGATTGAGACGTCTGATTTCAATGGCAAGAACCGGGCAACTCTGCTGGAGAAGATTCCTCACCCGTTTGGCCTCACAGTGGTAGGCACCAGGAGGAAGCATCACATGCATCAGACGTATCAAACATTCAATGTATCAAATGTCAAACACATCAAACATTTTAATCGTCAAATATTTAATATCAAACATTTCAAACATAATATATATCAAACATTTCAATAATCAAACATATCAGATATGTTAGGTATCAACATGTTAAATATCAATCATAAAACATTTCAAATATAAAACTTCAAATATATATGATATCAAACATTTCAATAATCAAACATATCAGACATGTTAATTATCAAACATTTCAACATCAGACATTGCAAATATCAAACATTTCAAACATTAAATATCAAACATTTCACCGCCTCTGTGGTCTAGTAGTAATGTGTCCGCCCGGAGAGCGGAAGGTCAGGGGTTCAACCCTCGGCCGCGTCGTACCTTAAGACGTTAAAACATTGTACTTGTTGTTACTCTGTCTGGTGCTCGGCAGGGGGGTCACTATACTGTCTGAGTGGGGGTATTCATGTTAAAATGCGGGATGGTATCTCAGTGCGACGTTAAACCCCATTACACCTCACCTCACCTCAAACATTTCATTCATCAACAGTCTGGTAGGTTTCCACTTACACTTGATCATAATGCTTTGACTATTCAAGTGGCTGCACGTGTAGGTGGGGATGAGACCTGGAGACCTGTAGACCTGCACCTTGGTTGTGTTTCAGTATCAAGACTACATCTACTGGTCGGACTGGCAGACAGAGAACATAGAGCGAGCCAGCAAACATAACGGGAAGGATCGCACGATCATTCAGAGTCGCCTCGAGGGGCTGATGGACATCCACATGGTGGCACCAGAGAGGCAGACAGGTACAGGGGAGGAGACAGTGGGTGTGGTCTCAGTGCAGGAGGGGCTATGTGGGTGTGGTCTCAGTGCAGGAGGGGCTATATGGGTGTGGTCTCATTGGGAAGGGGAGTGGTTTCAGTGCAGGAGGGGTTATATGGGTGTGGTCTCGGTGGGGAGACCACTCCGGTCACACAGAGGGAGGAGCTATATGGGTGTGGTCTCAGTGCAGGAGGGGCTATATGGGTGTGGTCTCATTGGGAAGGGGAGTGGTCTCAGTGCAGGAGGGGTTATATGGGTGTGGTCTCGGTGGGGAGGGGAGTGGTCACACAGAGGGAGGAGCTATATGGGTGTGGTCTCAGTGCAGGAGGGGCTATATGGGTGTGGTCTCATTGGGAAGGGGAGTGGTCTCAGTGCAGGAGGGGCTATGTGGGTGTGGTCTCGGTGGGGAGGGCTATATGAGTGTCGTCTCTGTGGAGAAGTGGTCACACTGAGGGAGGAGCTATATGGGTGTGGTCACAGTGGGAAGAGAAGTGGTCAAACCGAAGGAGGAGCTCTATGGGTGTAGTCTCAGTGTTGAGGGGATTAGTCATACTGAGGGAGGAGCTATATTATGGGTGTGGTCTCAGTGGGAAGGGGAGTGGACAAGAGGGGAAGGTCACAATGCTCTGTTTCATCTGTGTATGGCTGTGTAGATATGGCTTCAGCAATGTTTTCCCTTCCCCAGGTTCCAATGGATGCAGCCAAAACGGAGGCTGCACTCACCTGTGTCTGGCACGACCTGATGGCTATGTGTGCGAGTGTCCCAACATCCCTGACAGCACGCCCTGCATGGCAGGTGAGACCCTAGTATGTGTGTTGTCATGGTAACATGGCAGGTGAGACCCTAGTATATGTGTTGTCATGGTAACATTGCAGATGAGATCCTAGTATATGTGTTGTCATGGTAACATGGCAGGTGAGATCCTAGTGTATGTGTTGTAATGGTAACATGGCAGGTGAGATCCTAGTATATGTGTTGTCATGGTAACATGGCAGGTGAGATCCTAGTGTATGTGTAGCCATGGTAACATGGCAGTTGAGATCCTAGTGTGTGTGTTGTCATGGTTACATGGCAGGTGAGACCCTAGTGTGTGTGTAGTCATGGCAAGATGCTAGCTGAGGTCTGGCATCAGTGCAACGATGGCTACAGATCAGGGATCTGCTGTATGAGTTGTCATGTAACTAACCCTGTGAACCAGTAGCTTCTCAATAGTACTGTCACACATCTAAGGTCACTGTTGAACACCAGAGCAGAAAGAAAAATTCATTTGTATGTTCACAATTTCCAGGACTATAAAAGTTTCTCCATGCCGAGACACTGTGAACTCTGGTGGGGCTCATCAGACAGACAACTGGCTTCTGTCACAGTGGGTCGAGCCCAGTCTACGGCAACATGGTTTGTTTGCTCCAAAACATGATGTCACGCTCCATGTTTGACATGTACTAATGTCGCGTTTCTGTTTCAGTTCCAAGAGCATCCAACCTTCCCCACAACCCAGACATCCCCAGTATCGACATCAACTCCCACATGGAGCCCGCCGAGTGAGTTGTCTCCCTTGCATCTCCATCCATCTAGTCTGGCTGGTGCTAGAAGTCTGCTGAATAACTGGACATCTAGCCTGGCTGGTGCTAGAAGTCTGCTACTGGATGTCTAGCCTGGCTGGTGCTAGAAGTCTGCTACTGGACGTCTAGCTTGGCTGGTGCTAGAAGTCTGCTACTGGACGTCTAGCTTGGCTGGTGCTAGAAGTCTGCTACTGGACGTCTAGCCTGGCTGGTGCTTGAAGTCTGCTACTGGACGTCTAGCTTGGCTTGTGCTAGGAGTCTGCTACTGAACGTCTAGCCTGGCTGGTGCTAGAAGTCTGCTACTGGACGTCTAGCCTGGCTGGTGCTAGAAGTCTGCTACTGGACGTCTAGCCTGGCTGGTGCTAGAAGTCTGCTACTGGACGTCTAGCCTGGCTGGTGCTAGAAGTCTGCTACTGAACGTCTAGCCTGGCTGGTGCTAGAAGTCTGCTACTGGACGTCTAGCCTGGCTGGTGCTAGAAGTCTGCTACTGGACATCTAGCCTGGCTGGATCTAGAAGTCTGCTACTGAACGTCTAGCTTGGCTGGTGCTAGGAGTCTGCTACTGGACGTCTAGCCTGGCTGGTGCTAGGAGTCTGCTACTGAACATCTAGCCTGGCTGGTGCTAGAAGTCTGCTACTGGACGTCTAGCCTGGCTGGTGCTAGAAGTCTGCTACTGGACGTCTAGCCTGGCTGGTGCTAGGAGTCTGCCACTGAACGTCTAGCCTGGCTGGTGCTAGGAGTCTGCTACTGAACGTCTAGCTTGGCTGGTGCTAGAAGTCTGCTACTGGACGTCTAGCCTGGCTGGTGCTAGGAGTCTGCTACTGGGCATCTAGCCTGGCTGGTGCTAGGAGTCTGCTACTGGACGTCTAGCCTGGCTGGTGCTTGAAGTCTGCCACTGGACGTCTAGCCTGGCTGGTGCTAGAAGTGTGCTACTGGACGTCTAGCTTGGCTGGTGCTAGAAGTCTGCTACTGAACGTCTAGCCTGGCTGGTGCTAGGAGTCTGCTACTGGACATCTAGCCTGGCTGGTGCTAGAAGTCTTCTACTGGACGTCTAGCCTGGCTGGTGCTAGAAGTCTGCCACTGGACGTCTAGCCTGGCTGGTGCTAGAAGTGTGCTACTGAACGTCTAGCCTGGCTGGTGCTAGAAGTCTGCTACTGAACGTCTAGCCTGGCTGGTGCTAGGAGTCTTCTACTGGACGTCTAGCCTGGCTGGTGCTAGGAGTCTGCTACTGGACGTCTAGCCTGGCTGGTGCTTGAAGTCTGCCACTGGACGTCTAGCCTGGCTGGTGCTAGAAGTGTGCTACTGGACGTCTAGCTTGGCTGGTGCTAGAAGTCTGCTACTGAACGTCTAGCCTGGCTGGTGCTAGGAGTCTGCTACTGGACATCTAGCCTGGCTGGTGCTAGAAGTCTTCTACTGGACGTCTAGCCTGGCTGGTGCTAGAAGTCTGCTACTGGACATCTAGTCTATATATATATATACACACTACTCAAAAGAAATTAAAGAACACCTGATTCTTTCATATTTCATATCTGTCATGGCATAACAGAATAACTACAGTAATATGAAAGAATCAGTTGTTCTTTAATTTCCTTTGAGTAGTATATATATATCTATCTAGGGCTAGTTCATCAGACCGGTGAAGATCGGGGATAGAATAGGTCTTCCGCAACCCATGCTTGCCATAAAAGTCTACTACGCTTGTCATAAGAGGCGACTAACGGGATCGGGTGGTCAGGCTCGGTGACTTGGTTGATGCATGTCATCGTATCCCAATCGCGTGGATTGATTCTCAGGATGTCCAGACTCGATTATTTACAGACCGCCTTCATATGGCTTGAATATTGCTATGGGCAGGGTTTAACAAACATACAAACAAACGAACAAACAAAAAAACACCCACACAAGGTCAGTGCCGCAGTGTCAACATGAATACGCCACTCAGATGTGATGCTTCTTGTTGCAGAGAATGTACTGATGAGGACTCGGAGACTGGACTATGTAGCAGGGACACCCTGGCTGTGTCCACCCATGGTCAGTGGGTGGTGGACGGGGAGGGGTGTTGTTGATGGGGGAGGGGTGTTGTTAACGGGGAGGGGTGTTGTTGATGGGGGAGGGGTGTTGTTAACGGGGAGGGGTGTTGTTGATGGGGGAGGGGTGTTGTTGATTGGGGAGGGGTGTTGTTGAAAGGAAGGGGTGTTGTTGACGGGGAGGGTTGATGTTGATGGGGGAGGGGTGTTGTTGATGGGAGAGGGGTGTTGTTGATGGGGAAGGTTGTTGTTGAAAGGAAGAGGTGTTGTTGACGGGGAGGGTTGATGTTGATGGGGGAGGGGTGTTGCTGATTGGGGAGGGGTGTTGTTGATGGGGGAGGGGTGTTGTTGATGGGAGAGGGGTGTTGTTGATGGGGAGGGTTGATGTTGATGGGGGAGGGGTGTTGCTGATTGGGGAGGGGTGTTGTTGATGGGGGAGGGGTGTTGTTGATGGGAGAGGGGTGTTGTTGATGGGGAGGGTTGATGTTGATGGGGGAGGGGTGTTGCTGATTGGGGAGGGGTGTTGTTGATGGGGGGAGGGGTGTTGTTGATGGGAGAGGGGTGTTTTTGATGGGGAGGGTTGTTGTTGAAAGGAAGGGGTGTTGTTGACGGGGAGGGTTGATGTTGGTGGGGGAGGGGTGTTGCTGATTGGGGAGGGTTGATGTTGATGGGGGAGGGGTGTTGCTGATGGGGGAGGGGTGTTGTTGATGGGGGAGGGGTGTTGCTGATTGGGGAGGGTTGTTGTTGAAAGGAAGGGGTGTTGTTGACGGGGAGGGTTGATGTTGATGGGGGAGGGGTGTTGCTGATTGGGGAGGGTTAATGTTGATGGGGGAGGGGTGTTGCTGATTGGGGAGGGGTGTTGTTGATGGGGAGGGGTGTTGTTGATGGGGGAGGGGTGTTGTTGATTGGGGAGGTGTGTTGTTGATGGGGGAGGGGTGATGTTGATGGGGAGGGTTGTTGTTGAAAGGAAGGGGTGTTGTTGACGGGGGAGGGGTGTTGTTGAATGGAAGGGGTGTTGTTGACGGGGAGGGATGTTGTTGAAAGGAAGGGTGTTGTAGACGGGGATGGTTGATGTTGACAGAGCAGGTGTGTGTTTAATCCAAGACACACAATTGTATCGAATATTAAGATATCTGTCTGCTGTCACTTGAGTGTACATACCCCATGATGTCACCATGACCTAGAGTATATTCCCCATGATGTCTTCACACCATGACCTAGAGTGTACTCCCTATGATGTCTTCACATCATGACCTAGAGTATATTCCCTATGATGTCTTCACACCTTGACCTAGAGTATATTCCCTATGATGTTACATTGACCTAGAATGTATTCCCTAAGTCACCATGACCTAGAGTGTATTCCCTAAGTCACCATGACCTAGAGTGTACTCCCTATGATGACTTCACATCATGACCTAGAGTATATTCCCTATGATGTCTTCACATCATGACCTAGAGTATATTCCCTATGATGTCTTCACATCATGACCTAGAGTATATTCCCTATGATGTCTTCACATCATGACCTAGAGTGTATTCCCTATGATGTCTTCACACCATGACCTAGAGTATATTCCCTATGATGTCTTCACATCATGACCTAGAGTATATTCCCTATGATGTCTTCACATCATGACCTAGAGTATATTCCCTATGATGTCTTCACACCTTGACCCAGAGTATATTCCCTATGATGTCTTCACATCATGACCTAGAGTATATTCCCCATGATGTTACATTGACCTAGAGTGTATTCCCTAAGTCACCATGACCTAGAGTGTACTCCCTATGATGTCTTCACATCATGACCTAGAGTATATTCCCTATGATGTCTTCACACCATGACCTAGAGTGTATTCCCTATGATGTCTTCACATCATGACCTAGAGTATATTCCCCAAGTCACAATGACCTAGAGTGTATTCCCTAAGTCACCATGACCTAGAGTGTACTCCCCATGATGTCTTCACACCATGACCTAGAGTGTACTCCCTATGATGTCTTCACATCATGATCTAGAGTATATTCCCTATGATGTCTTCACATCATGACCTAGAGTATATTCCCTATGATGTCTTCACACCATGACCTAGAGTATATTCCCCAAGTCACAATGACCTAGAGTGTATTCCCTAAGTCACCATGACCTAGAGTGTACTCCCTATGATGTCTTCACATCATGACCTAGAGTATATTCCCTATGATGTCTTCACATCATGACCTAGAGTATATTCCCTATGATGTCTTCACATCATGACCTAGAGTATATTCCCTATGATGTCTTCACATCATGACCTAGAGTATATTCCCTATGATGTCTTCACACCATGACCTAGAGTATATTCCCCATGATGTTACATTGACCTAGAATGTATTCCCTGTAATGTCACCATGACCTAGAGTATATTCCCTATGATGTCTTCACACCATGACCTAGAGTATATTCCCTCTGATGTCTTTACATCATGACCTAGAGTATATTCCCTATGATGTCTTCACATCATGACCTAGAGTATATTCCCCATGATGTTACATTGACCTAGAGTGTATTCCCTATGATGTCTTCCCACCATGACCTTGAGTGTATTCCCCAAGACACCATGACCTAGAATATATTCCCTATTATGTCACCATGATCTAGAATATATTCCCTATGATGTCTTCCCACCATGACCTGGAGTTTATGTCTCTCCAGCTCAAAGGATCAGCACGGCATACATCGTCCTTGGCATCATCACTGTCATCGTCCTCATCGGTTTCATCGTGTTTTTTGTCTTGTGGAAGAGGTAGGTGTCAAGTATAAAATTGTCTACAGCAGCTGGTCACATGGTATCAAATACCACACAACAAGATATAGTAACTTATTCACTGCTAGCTTCTGGCAGCTGGTCACATGGTATCAAATACCACACAACAAGATATAGTAACTTATTGACTGCTAGCTACTGGCAGCTGGTCACATTGTATCAAATACCACACAACAAGATATAGTAACTTATTGACTGCTAGATACTGGCAGCTGGTCACATGGTATCAAATACCACACAACAAGATATAGTAACTTATTGACTGCTAGCTACTGGCAGCTGGTCACATTGTATCAAATACCACACAACAAGATATAGTAACTTATTGACTGCTAGCTACTGGCAGCTGGGATATAGCTGGAATATTGCTGACCTCGCATTAAGTGAAAGCTCTTTACTTTTGTACTTATTCTTTACATATCACATTTATTATCTAGAACCATTATTTATTTAAGCTACAGGTCTTTTATCAAGTTGGCTATATATTTCAGACAAAAGCGTCGTCAGTATAACGTAGAAGAGTTTACGACATTGACCTACGCGAACCCAACGTATCAAAAAGCCAGTTCTGAGACCATCAACTCCGATCACAGCCGGTCTGTGAGGCCGTGGCAGAGGTTCCGATATTGTAAACGAGATGTGAGTAGTTGCTTTATAACATTCCCTTCACTTTGAATACATTGTTAATAACATTCCACCTGCTGTACATATGCCATTAATGCCATCCAGGCTTGTGAGTTTATGGTCAATAACATCCTGTCTATTGTGAGTTTATGGTATATAACATCCTGTCTATTGTGAGTTTGTGGTTAATAACATGCTGTCTCTAGTGTGTTTATGGTTAATAACATCCTGTCTATTGTGAGTTTATGGTTAATACCATCCTGTCTATTGTGAGTTTATGGTTAATAACATCCTGTCTATTGTGAGTTTATGGTTAATAACATCCTGTCTGCTGTCAATTTATGGCTAATAACATCCTGTCTACTGTCAGTTTGTGGCTAATAACTTCCTGTCTATTGTGAGTTAATGGTTAATAACATCCTGTCTATTGTGAGTTTGTGGTTAATAACATCCTGTCTATTGTGAGTTTATGGTATATAACATGCTGTCTATTGTGAGTTATGGTTAATAACATCCTGCCTATTGTGAGTTTATGGTATATAAAATGCTGTCTACTGTCAATGATGTCCTGTTTGTGTATGGTAAGATGTTTCAATGATGTTCTGTTTGTGTATGGTGAGATGTTTCAATGATATTCTGTTGGAGTGTGGTGAGATGTTTCAATGATGTTCTGTTTGTGTATGGTGAGATGTTTCAATGATGTTCTGTTTGTGTATGGTGAGATGTTTCAATGATATTCTGTTGGAGTGTGGTGAGATGTTTCAATGATGTTATGTTTGAGTATGGCGAGATGTTTCAATGATGTTCTGTTTGTGTATGGTGAGATGTTTCAATGATGTTCTGTTTGTGTTTATTGAAATGTTTCAGTGATGTTTTGTTTGAGCATGGTGAGATGTTTGAATGATCTGTTTGTGTATGGTGACATCTTTCAATGATTTTCTGTTGGAGTGTGGAGAAATGTTTCAATGATGTTCTGTTGGAGCATGGTGAGATGTTTCAATGATGTTCTGTTTGAGTATGGTAAGATGTTTCATTGATCTGTTTGTGTATGGTGAGATCTTTTAATGCTCTTCTGTTTGTGTATGGTGAAATGTTTCAATGATGTTCTGTTTAAGTATTGTGAGATGTTTCAATGATTTTCTGTTTGTGTATTGTGACATGTTTCAATGATGTTTTGTTGGAGTGTGGTCAGATCTTTTAGTACTGTTCTGTTCAAGTGTGCTGAGATGTTTCAATGTTCTCTTTGTGTATGGTGAGATGTTTCAATGATCTGTTTGGGTATGGTGAGATGTTTCAATGATCTGTTTGTGTATGGTGAGATCTTTTAATGATGTTATGTTGGAACATGGTGAGATCTTTTAATGATGTTCTGTTTGAGTATTGTGAGATGTTTCAATGATGTTCTGTTGGAGTGTGGCGAGATCATTTAATGCTGTTCTGTTCGAGTGTGGTGGGATGTTTCAATGATGCTTGTTTGCGTAAGGTGAGATGTTTCAATGATGCTTGTTTGCGTAAGGTGAGATGTTTCAATGCTGTTGTGTTGTTGCCAGGAGCGACTGAGCATGGTTCCGGTGGACAGTGACAAGCTGAACAACATGGAGCGCGCCGCCCTCGTGCAGCAGATGGAGACCAGTAACTCCCCACAGGGCGACGCTTCAGAAGATTCTTGTATCACTAAAAATATCTTTAAAAATAATACAAAATATACAACTGAATCATCCAAACTAAATATCCCGTATAAGCCTGTTGACACGTGAGTGAGTGATCCCGGACTGTGATACAATGGTGCAAGCTAATTGTGGGAGTACCCATCCAAAGATAAACTTATGAGAAATCCCACCAAACCAAGTGCTGTCAATCAGACTCGATATGAGTGGATGTGATTCTGTGTTCAATTGATGATATATTCCATACAACTTATAATGTGAAGACCACAGACTGGAGACTATTTCCCATAAAACTTGCGTCACTATGGATGTATTGATCTGATTGTGTGTGATTATAGTGGGTACACCTGAGCATCCCAATGACCAGAGGATATATTCCATACAACTAATTATGTGAATACCTCAAATGACAGTGTTATCCACACAACTTATGTCACAGTGGATTATTGACAGACTTCAAGTGGATATTGTGTTGAATGCTTGTGAGAATGTGCTCTGTGAGTAACTCAAGACGTTTATGATTAAGTCAAGTTTTGTGATATTCTTCTGCTGGGATCGTCCGCCCGCCAAGTGTTGTATTCAAGTTCCTTGGCTGTTCCTGACTCAAGTGTGACAAAGTGCTTCCAAACACAGACCACAGAATGGAACTGCTTCAACACGTGACACACAGATGCAGAGACAGAGCATCTTGCAGTGATCTGTGTCAAACATGTATCAATGATAACGCCCAAATAACGTGATGGTTTATAAATAAGGCTGGTCTTACACTGAGGCCAATCTAACAATTAAAATAACCTCCTAATTCAATACATGACTCTTACAAATTCACATATTTTTATCTGGAGGGAATTTCTTTCACAAATATTGGGAAATGTATCAATCTCATTAGAATCAGATCTTAGTTCTCGCTACCACTAAACAAGGATCTGAGTCCATCCCATTACGGGTCACGTCAGACCGACCTTGCGCGAACTTTGACCAACCAATTGAAAGACTGACAAGAAGTCTACATTAGCCAATCAGAAGGCACTTTTCTCATGCTTTATGGCACTAATTTCAAATTTCATGCTTCGAAACATATTTTGACAAATTCTCGATTAAAATTTTGAAACCTGAACAAAAGAACATTCTGGAATGGCAAATAGATGGTCTATGGATTCAGTTGTTAAACCCGTAACTATTGTTCGGAATACCCTGAGTTAAAGCTTTCAAGGTTGCATGATTAGAAATCACATTCCGACTGTCATGATCTGGTGAGCCACGCTCTGATTGGTCGGATGAAAGGTCGTTCTGATGTGACCCCTAATGGGATGTCCTCAGATCTTGGTTTAGCGGTTGCAAGACCTAAGATCTGATTTTAATGATATTGTGAAATGTATTAGCAGTATATATTTTGAATCCATCTGTTCTGAAACATGTATTTTTCGGCCTGACGATGGGGCTTACTTTATCTGTATCACTTGATGGTTGTGTTGAACATATCATTGTAGTCTCATGCTATACCTCACTGCACAGTTGCTGTAGATCTACTGGAAATCACTGCCGAATACTCAAGTATTGATCTATCTGACCCAGACTGTACTACAGTCTCTCGGGGTCCATTAGGCTGAACTGCGGCACCATTGTGTATCACATGACTGATGACATGGCAGAGGTTACTGTGTTGAACAAAGTACATCTTCCCGAGGCAAGGGAATTAACTCACTATAAAAGTCCAGTTTCCACTCTTGCCTGGAATTATGGGGTTATGTTTTGGCTGGACTAACGAGTCTATGCATAGTCCAATTAACATCGCATAACGATATCAACATCTGGTTCGTAAACTGCCGTGTAGATTTTAGTCGATTGCAGGATATGCAGAGCATGTGTAGCATCAACTCGACGTCAACACTTGTTTTCCAATTCTTCTCATACTTTTAATCGAGGTTCTCACATGACTTGAGCCAATTAAGGAAGTAAGACCTGTTTTATCACAATATAGGTGTTGGTTATCAATCAGATCATCTTCAGTGGGTGCTGCCATTTTGTTTGAAGTTAATGCAAGTGATAAACGAGGTGGAATCTGATTGGTTAATAGGAGGAACAAAGAAGGGACATAACTTGTCATAGTGCCCAGACATTCAACCTAGTTCAGCAATGGTGGAAACTGGACTTTTATGGTCAGTCAACTCCCTTGACTCAGGAAGATGAACAAAGTGTATCTCCCAGCTGGGCTGTGTATCTTGTACTTACATACTAATGACACTGTATACTCACATTATGATGCTGATGACGACGTTGTATAACTCTTGTGCCAAACATAGCAGTCGTGCATCTTCTAGCCTTGTTATAATGTAATGGCATAGAACAGATTATGTGTTTTGTTTCAGGGATTCTCAACATCTACACTGCGAGGATTGTACTTTGTTTTCACTATTATTTGACGGAATAACTGGTGACATGCTACTGGCTGGTTATCACTGTAGAATTTAAGCTGAACTCGGCGCATATAGCTCTTGAATTCACTTCCGACATCACAAATCAGGTTCAAAAGATGCCAGCTATTATATCAGAGACTATATACTCAGCGAGAAAAATGTGGAACTGATATCACGTCTCTGTGCTCTACAGTAGTGATATCACGTCTCTGTGCTATACAGTAGTGATATCATGTCTCTGTGCTATACAGTAGTGATATCACGTCTGCACCATACGGTTGTTGTCACATGACCATGTGTATATTTTTCAGGACAGAGTTATGCCCCTTAGTTGATGGTCAACATCAGTACATTATCCCAGGCAAGAAATATTGTTATGGATTTTTGCCTTCAAATAATTTTAAATGTTTTTATATATATATACTGTGACAAACACGTATATTTTATGCAAGCCTAGACTCACATGACGATAACCACCAGTTGTACTCGATACAAAATCTGCATGGCTACTTGTGGCCAGATGAAGGGTTAGCTCCCTTATACTGTATAGGATAATATAATTTTTTATGTCACTAATCTCCAATGCTGCTGCTTCTTGAATTGATGACAACTGAAACGCGACTGACATTGACGTCTGCTCAACGCTGAAAGTTGGTTTACTGATCACACTCGACTGCCTTGACTTGCCAATCATAACCCACACCTCAGTCATGTGATCATCAGCTGCTGTGTAATTGGCTGCTGTAGTAGTCACATGATCTAATGATATTCTTGGATCTCTGAGCCATGCTGGTAGTTTGTGCTGTACTGGAATTGTACATTGTGTATATCTGCCTTCAGAAACTTGTACATTTTGTATATCTGCCGTTAGGATCTTGTATATGTATCTATTGGCTGTACAAAAGTACATGTACCGTCCATATTTCCTGTGTTAAGAGTCAGCATTATAACGACTGGGTCTGGATTTAAGTAATGACGGGGCGTGGGGGTAAGTAATGACGTGGTCTGGGGGTAAGTAATGACGTGGTCTGGGGGTAAGTAATGACGGGGTCTGGGGGTAAGTAATGATAGGGTCTGGGGGTAAGTAATGATGGGGTCTTGGGGTAAGTAATGATGGGGTCTGGGGGTAAGTAATGACGGGGTCTGGGGGTAAGTAATGACGGGGTCTTGGGGTTAGTAATGACGGGGTCTTGGGGTAAGTAATGATGGGGTAAGTAATGACGGGGTCTGGGGGTAAGTAATGATGGGGTAAGTAATGACGGGGTCTTGGGGTAAGTAATGACGGGGTCTGGGGGTAAGTAATGACGGGGTCTTGGGGTAAGTAATGACAGGGTCTGGGGTAAGTAATAGCAGGGTCTGGCGTAATTAATGACTTTTTCTAAATTAATGCATCCCATTTGGTCATTTCTAGGAACATGTTTTATGTTGCTTCTGAAATCCAGATAAGAAAGCTCATGTGTGTCTGATTGTAAAGTGAAGTTAAGGTCCTGTCCTGTAACAGAGGAACTATGTATAACATGTACAACTGTACTTGTATGTGAAGGATGTAGAAACATTGTACAGGTGAGCCATGTCTCTGTGTATAGGGCCTGGGACATCTCTACTCTATGCAGATCTGTGTAGTAACTTATTGACTGCCACATGGTTACAATGTCGTAGCATTCTCATCCAGCAACCGTAATGTAACGTGCTGCCCTCGGCATGTAACATTCTGCACCTGGGATGTAACATGCTGCACCTGGGATTTAACGTGCTGCAACCGGGATGTAACATGCTCCAACCGGGATGTAACGTGCTGCACCTGGGATTTAACGTGCTGCACCCGGGCTGTAACATGCTGCACCCGGGATGTAACGTGCTGCATCCAGGATGTAACGTGCTGCACCTGGGATGTAACGTGCTGCACCCGGGCTGTAACATGCTCCACCCGGGAAGTAACATACTGCACCCGGGATGTAACGTGCTGCACCCAGGATGTCACGTGCTGCACCTGGGATGTAACGTGCTGCACCCGGCATGTAACATGCTGCACCCGGGAAGTAACATGCTGCACCCGGCATGTAACGTGCTGCACCCAGGATGTCACGTGCTGCACCTGGGATGTAACGTGCTGCACCCGGCATGTAACATGCTGCACCCGGGATGTAACATGCTGCACTCAGATGTATTGTGCTGCACCCGGGAAGTAACATGCTGCACCCGGGATGTAATGTTCTGCACCCAGGATGTAATGTGCTGCATCCGAGATGTAACATGCTGCACTCAGATGTATTGTGCTGCACCCAGGATGTAACCTGCTGCATCCAAGATGTAACGCAATCCACCTGGGATGTAACATGCTGCACTCAGATGTATTGTGCTGCACCCAGGATGTAACCTGCTGCATCCAAGATGTAACGCAATCCACCTGGGATGTAATATGCTGCACTCAGATGTATTGTGCTGCACCCAGGATGTAACCTGCTGCATCCAAGATGTAACGCAATCCACCTGGGATGTAATATGCTGCACTCAGATGTATTGTGCTGCACCCAGGATGTAACATGCTGCATCCAAGATGTAACATGCTGCATCCGAGATGTAACGTGATGCACTCAGATGTATTGTGCTGCACTCAGATGTAATGTGCTGCATCCGGAATGTAACATGCTGCACCCAGGATGTAACGTGATGCACTCAGATGTAACATGCTATAATTCTGTTGAAGAAATTGAATTGGAAGAAAAATATTTTTGACAAAACTTATTTCTTTTTTCCATATTTGTGAAATTTTGGACCGTCAGGACTGTATACAAGAAGTTAAACCAAACAGCCACATGATATGCATTCATGACACCACCCAGTATTGATCTGAGTGTGGGACTTACGGTGCATACTGTAAGCTGCCACCCAGTATTGATCTGAGTGCGGGACTTACGGTGCATACTGTAAGCTGCCACCCAGTATTGATCTGAGTGTTGGACTTACGGTGCATACTGTAAGCTGCCACCCAGTATTGATCTGAGTGTTGGACTTACGGTGCATACTGTAAGCTGCCACCCAGTATTGATCTGAGTGTTGGACTTACGGTGCATACTGTAAGCTGCCACCCAGTATTGATCTGAGTGCGGGACTTACGGTGCATACTGAAAGCTGCCACCCAGTATTGATCTGAGTGCGGGACTTACGGTGCATACTGTAAGCTGCCACCAAGTATTGATCTGAGTGCGGGACTTACGGTGCATACTGTAAGCTGCCACCCAGTATTGATCTGAGTGCAGGACTTACGGTGCATACTGTAAGCTGCCACCCAGTATTGATCTGAGTGTTGGACTTACGGTGCATACTGTAAGCTGCCACCCAGTATTGATCTGTAAGCCAAGCATGTTAAGTCAGTCAGGATACATCACTGACTCAAAACAAATCCTGCCCTTGTTTTACAGATATACTGGACTAAAGAACGAGTACAGCTGCTTCATGTTTACGTTAAGAGGTTTTTGTGGGGGGACTAACAAGAAAATCTGTTCATTTGATATCCTGTTTTCTTGGGTTGGTAAGTTTACTCTGAAACTGTATTTGACACCTTTGACCGAGTCTCTCTCCTGCATTCTGGCT